TGACGAGAGCAGTCTCAGTGCTGTGGTGGGGTCTAAAGCCGGACTGAAACATATCAAATGAGTTGTTGATTATAAGAAATCTAGTAAGCTGTAGGTAGACAACTTTTTCAAGGACTTTCCCCATAAATGGCAGATTTGAGATGGGACGATAGTTGTTAAGTACCGTAGCATCCAGACTGCTGTTTTTTAGCAGGGGCCTGATGACTGCAGTTTTCAGGGCCTTTGGGAATATTCCAGAATTAAGGGACATGTTTACTATCTGTGTGAGTGAAGGTAACAGACTGCTCAGAACAGACTTTAGAAATCTAGTGGGTAGTACATCCAGGCTGCATGTGGAGGAGCTCAAACTGGAGATTGTTTCTTGGACAGTTTGATCATTTACAGGTGCAAAGTAAGTTAGCTCAAAGAGCCTTTCTGGCTGTTGGATGGTTTTCTGTGGATTGGAGACAATGGCGTTTTTGATGCCTTGAACCTTGTCATTGAAAAAATGTGCAAACTCATTACATTTACGTTTGGAAGTTAGCTCTAATGGCATTTGAACAGGGGGGTTTGTTAATCTATTAACTGTTGAAAACAGAACACGCAGATTGTTGCTGCAGCCTTCAATCATTTCAGAAAAATACCTTTCTCTCGTACTACGTAGCACCTGGTTAAACTCGCACAACTTATCTTTGAAGATCTTGTAATCAACCTGGAGGTTGGACTTGCGCCACTTCCGCTCGGCCCTCTGGCACTCTCTCTTTTGTGCCCTGACCGAGTCTGCTTTAGCCCACGGCGCCTTCTGCTTATTTTTCACTATTTTAACCTTCACAGAAGCGATGGTGTCCAGAACTTTCAAAACACTAGAGGTGACAGAGTTAAACAGTTCATCTACAGTAGAATACAATGCATTCTCAAAGTTTATCATTCCCATAAATAGTTCACCCGTATTTTCATTTATGTGTCTTCTTCGTACAGTTGCAGAGTCCACTGGTGGTTTGTTAGTGAAACACATGTCAAAAAATATACAAAAATGATCCGAAAGCGCAACATCGACCACGTTTACATTAGAAATGTTCACCCCCTTTGTAACTAACAGGTCTAGAGTGTGCCCTCTGCTGTGGGTTGGGCCACTCACATGCTGAGTGAGACCAAAAGATTCAAGAACAGAACTCAGCTCTTTAGCATTTCTGTCATCAACATTATCCACATGAATATTAAAGTCACCTGTAATAACTAAACTATCAAAATCTGTGCATACAACTGAAAGCAACTCTGTAAAATTATCAATAAAACTGTGACATGACTGCGGTGGCTTGTATAGGACAACAAAAAGTATTGGAGGAGATTGTTTTTGTTGTATTTTAAAAGACACATATTCAAAAGACGGAAACTTCCCAAGAGACATTCTATGGGAGACAAAGTGGTCTCTAAAAATGGCAGCTAAGCCTCCTCCTTTTTTGTTTTCCCGTATTTCAGATTCAAATTTGAAATTTGGTGGTGATGCTTCTATTAAAACTGCATTTTCTGTATTTTGGTCAAGCCATGTTTCAGCCATGAACACAAGATCTAGATTATAAGAACAAATAAAATTATTGATTAAAAAAGACTTGTTACAAAGAGATCTGACATTTAGCATAGCAAGTTTCAAAGTTTCAGGATCAGCGGTTGTGGTCGGCTGATTCTTACACGGAACAAGAATTAGATTTTCCTGATTAGACTGATTAACTTCAGAGGTTTTTCTGTTATGTATTCTTTGTGTTATCACTAAGGGAATGGCACAGGTGGCTTCATGACAGGGCCCCAGCCGGGTCTCTCCTATAACTAGACTGCCAGTGGCTGCGAAGCAGAGACCCTGTGCATCTCTAAACACTTTTAGAGAAAAGAGGGGAAGGGGAAGGCGGGGGAAGAGGATGGAGAGGCGGGTGGTTCTTGGGAGTTGGACGGGGGGGGGGTTGAAGGTGGATGGGTTTTTGGTGATGGGTTGGGGGAGGGGCAGGCTGAGTTGGGTGGTGGACGAGGGGGGAGTAGAGGTGGAGGGTTTCTTGGTGCTGAGTTAGGGGGGAGGTGGGCTAAATGAGCAGGAGGGGGGGGTGGAATACTTATGGGGTTAGAGGAGGGACGGGTGGATTTTGTGGGAGAATTTGAGTTGGACGCCCTAGGTGGCTTTGGAGGTACGTATGGGGAGTAGTTTTGCATGTTAGATAGGACTCTTGATCTGGCTACAGTGGGTGTGAGAGGAATAGTCTTCATCGCCGATCTTATCATGCCTGCCGAGTGTTCCGGTAATTCCAGTAGTGAAGGCGGGGATAGAAAACAAAGGGAAAGGTCGTCCTCATTTTCCCTAGATGGAGTGGATGTAGCGGGGGGGACCCAAGCCGGGTCCATGGAAGGTGATGAGGGAGTCTTTGGTGGAGACAGAGGTGGTTGAGGAACCCCCATTACAGGCCTGTCTGTAGCCTGGAGCAATGGGGGAAGCTTCACGGGAGCTGTACGTGGGGAAGGTGCTGCTGAAGATGATGGAGCAGCCACTGCTGCTGCTGAAGATGATGGAGCAGCCACTGCTGCTGCTGTATCCACTGCTGCTGGTGGTGCTGTATATGCTGATGGCGCTGATGAAGATGTGGCAGCTGCTGATGATGCTGGTGGTGGAGGCGTTGAGCTCTTTCGGAGCCGTGGAGGTGTTGAGTTCTTTTGGAACCTTGGAGGTGTGGAGTTCTTCTTGAATCGTGGAGGTGTGGAGTTCTTTTGAGGCGGTGGGGGTGCAGAGACCTCGGGAGTCGGTGGAGATGGTCGTGATGTCTGTGCCCTTTGCTTCTTCTTTCTCCCTTTTGACGGCTGCAAGCGCTGCGCAGGCTGAGGTCTTAGGGCAGATGCAAAGTTATCCATCAACACTTTTACTCCGTAGTTGTTCAGATGTGGACCTTTTTCTTCAAAAAGCTCGTGCCTATTCCAGAACAGATTAAAGTTTTCAATGAAGCCAAGTCCTCTGCGTGAACACTCATTGAGTAGGAATGTATTTAGCTGATACAGACGGCTAAACTTCTCAATTTTTCCATCTATATTTGGAAGTGGTCCACTAAGAAAAATGTTTATGTCCATTTTCTTGAGGTCATCCAGTAACAGCGTTAAATCCATTCGTAACTTCTCACTTGCCTTCTCATAGATATCTACCGCCCCCGTGTGGATCAATAATGTACGCACACCACTGTTCTCAGATAACACTTTAGGCAGAAGAGTCCTTATCTCAGCAACTTTTGCAGAGTGAACTGAGACAGTGAGCATGGACTCCATGTTTACATTTTTCACCGAACCATCTCCGATAAGGACAGAGTTTGTCCTTGGTGGAGGCGCTGCAGTTGTTTGCGGCTTTGTTGTTTCAGAAAGGGGTAAAAAGCGGTTTGAAGTCTTCAAAACATTTAGTTGTGGCCTTATTTCACTCCTATTGTTATTCTTAGCTTTGTCAACTTTGGGTTTAGCGCCACAATTGTTCCAATAATTCTCATTGTTGATTTTGGGAAAAGAAATGACGTCATAACTTACATTTCCAGTCTGTCCATTCATCCCATTTTCACTCATTGGAAGAGTCGGGTTTAGTCCCATTTCTGTTTCCACAATAGATATCCGTGTTTGAAGAGATTTGAGCTGACATTCCAGAGCACAACAGCCGCCGCAGACGCTTCTCCGTCTCTTTCGTCCCGACATGACTAAAGTTGATAAATTCCACAAAGCTGAAGTGTGTAGAAGGAGTAATCCTCGTTTTGTAAATAAAATGATTAAAGGAGAAACAAAAAATGTAAATAAAATGATTCAAGGAGATTAAAAGGCAAAGCAAAAGCAGAGCAGAGAGAGACACACGACTGCTCTCTTGAGAAGCAGGAAGCAGGTGGTGGAGCAGGACTTCTCACAGCAGTAGAGGTGGTGGAGCAGGACTTCTCACAGCAGTAGAGGTGGTGGAGCAGGACTTCTCACAGCAGTAGAGGGGGTGGAGCAGGACTTCTCACAGCAGTAGAGGTGGTGTGGCTGCTTGGTTCGGACCATTTTCTCTGCTCTGGTCCAGAGTAAAATGCTGAATGCTTTGTTAGAATTTTTCAAAAAATTAGTATTCTTCCAGTGGATTTCTGCTTGGTCTGCTTGGTTCGGTCCATGAATCCTCTCTGCTCTGGTCTGGATCAGTGTTAAACTATGAACGCTGTACTGTAGTAACATTTACAGGTAGAAAAAAGAAGCAAGATTTTTTTTTTTTTAAACTGTTTACTCCTTTTGGCAAAAGAAGTAAACAAGGCTGACTGGTCGGATGGAATTCAACCGATGTAATCGCAAATTTGAAAGAACGGGAGAGGTGGGGTTGTTCAATTTACACATTTTAAGCTGGTTTAAATAACATGAACAGTTTCTGTTTCTCTTAAAAACATAAGCAAATCTTGAAGATCGCACTTAATTTTTAGCGTTGTTACATCAACATATCTAAATCATGTTGATGCCAAATGAAAATGTTACATTTTGTCCTTGCCCCTGAATTTGTGACGCGTGAAACCCCGTGCATCGAGAAGCATTCCTCATGGGGATTTTAGTCCGCCATTTTACAACCGATGCTACATGAACCTGCATCAGGAGGACACCCGCATAAGGTAAGTTCAATTTTCTCTTACAAATTAACGATAGGAAGTGGTAGACATCGCCTCAACATTGTTGTTTTCACGGAGCAGAGCTTTTTAATCTGCTATTATTATCAAGCAACTGCAAGCTCCATCCACCTGCTAGCCTCGGCGGTGGGGCGGAGGTGCCCGTGGTTGCTAATGCTAATGCTGCCCTCCTCTTGCTTCCTTTGGGTGCACGGATCGCCTCAGTGCGTCGCGAACGGGTTCAGGTCCAATTGGAAGGGTTTTGGAGAAACATATCAGTTTTTGCTCCTTTTGTTGTTTTTTTCTAGGCGGAATTTCATTTTTTCAACACTGCTAGTCTTGCCCCCAATTTGTTTCTTCCTAATTTTCACATCCAGATATTCCCAAGGCCCAACTATGGTACGGGTTCCCGGGACGACCCCGGGGGTACGCAAAGAAATTTTGGAGAAAAATAAATGTTTATCACAATCTGATCGATATTGACCCGTTAAAACCTCCGCACGGGAAACGTGCTTATACAGGCGAAAGAGTCTTATAATTCAGACGTGGATGAGTTTGTTCTGGACCTAAATGTGTCCACTTCAGAACCGGACCTCAAGAGCCGCTTTGGACCGGAGTGCGTAAAACTCTGCGTGCGCGGAGGCCGGGAGCGCGGCGGATGCGTCAGCTCTCGCTACAACAGCAGCGCCTTTAACGTGAACCGTGCCAGAGTTTGATCGAGCAGCAATTTCTGTAATATCTGTCATAATGAGAGAGGAGCCTGTGCGCCGTCAGACTGATGGAGACTTCGACTTCAACAGGAGGTTTCCTCTCATTCTGATCCGAGGAGCGAGGGGAGAAGCGTCTGTGGCCCCTCCTCTGCCGCTAAACCCGTGGCTTTGTATCTGACACGTTTACATTTACGAGCTGATGTGCGGTGGTACGTGCAAAGATGGTTATGTCCTGCGTATACATTATCTTCGCTTTAACAAAAGCTTAAACCAGCGCAGTGGAGTCTGTCCCGGTGGTGACAGGACGACTGAAGGAGACGCAGAGGGGGCGGGGCGGGGCCAGAGCGCGGAGTCTGAAGCCCAACGCACACCGAAACGCCTTGACGCGCGGCAAAAGAGCCGCCTCCTTTATTTTCTATGAGAGAACGCACACCAAGGTTGCAGTGACGCGCGGCGACGCTGGACCGGGCGCCACGATTCAGTTTTGTTGAATCCAGACGCGGCGCCGCGGCTGAAACTGTCCCTCCAAGCACCCGTAGTTTTCTTCTTCTGCGCTTCTTATCACGTAGCTGTGAGCGCGGTCTCAAATTTACACACTTGTCGGCGCTATTGCTCAAGTAAACCGGTCACAATGGACGAGGAAAGCTTGATAACCCAAGTACAGCGTTACCCAGAGCTAGTTATTAGCCTGTTTAAAAAATGGGTCCAAATAGTCTTTTCTTGTAATATTTGCCAGCATAATTTCACGTAAATACTTTGTTTCCTCCCCCAAAATATTAGTAGAAACTTCCAAACGTCACTCACCCATTTCATCTGCGATCAGCTGGAAAAGGACGCTAGCCAAGGCGTTCCGGTGTAATTTGACACATGTCATGAACGCGCGTCAAATGACGCGCCGCGAGGCGCTGCGTTTCGGTGTGCGGTGAGCTTGATGTTCAGAATGAGCTGGTCACTGGGACAAAACAAAACACTCAGCGTTACCCATTCTCACTAACAGCCTCGTTTCCAAAATAATAAACTGGCATTTTCATAAATATTTTTGTATTTACATTATTCTTAATCGCCCAGACGAGGCTAAAAAAAAGTGGAATGTGGAAAACCTGCTTGAGTTCACTGTAATAATGGAGGAAATAAACATAATATTACTAGTGATATTCCCAGTGTTTTCAATCGCGTCACAGTAGGGGGTACGTGACTCTTCACCTAAAGCTTCAGGGGGTACACGGCTCCAAAACGTTTGGGAACCACTGAAATAGTATGAACATGCTATTTTCAGGGAAATAGCCCCTTGAGTGCAAGAGGTTTACATTACCATTACATTAAAAACATTACGATTCTGTTGACCCATACCTTAAACATTTATCTGTGAGCCAACTAACACATGGTTAAGAATCATATTTGTTCTGAGTTTTCATGTAAATTCTTAATCTCTTTTTTTTTGTGTTCTCCAGACTGCTGCCTTTCCTGTCGGTATCAGCCAGTGCAAGGGTTTATTCAAAGACTCAGTAGTAGGGGTGAGTAATGTATTCTACACGTTTTACGCAAACTTCACAAAATACACTCATGTACCCATGACTTGACACTCACCCAAACACTGACACACACACTGATTACATTCAATCACATTTTTTATATTTGTCTCTCTTTTTTTTTCTTTTGTTTCTTATGCAGTATGTGGCAGTGTAAAGCTTGTTCTGGTAATATTTTGTTTCTATAAAACTGTGTTCTGTAGAAAGAAGACCGTGCTGCAATCCAGGAGGCCATTGAGGATACCACGGTGGCAATTTTCCTCATCAGGGAAAGTGGCGGTGATGGGAAAGAGGACATCCTCGTTGTCCTTGAAGGCCAGGCCGTGGTGGTTGACCTACCAAGTGTGGGGGTGGTGGTTGCCATGCTGTTTGTCCTCATTTACAACTTAAACCTGGACTACCCTCCTCATCTCAGATACACCTTTGAGGTAATACAGAAAGTTGTAATGGAGTTGGAAGGCAAAGTGCTGTCAAAGGGCTCAGGCCTTGAAGATCCGACTCTTTGAGTAAAGATGGAACCTTAACCTCCACCCGGACCGGATTGGCTTTACCCAAATCTAAAAGATTATGGAAAATGAGTCATCAAAAATTGTAAAAAAAAAACGCAGCAAAAAAGTGCCAAAAAGAGACCACACAATGCCACAAACAGCAACAGAAAAGTGACAAAAGAACAACAAAAATGTTACAAAAAAGCGATTGAAGTGCAACACAAAAGTGGAAAAAACAAGTATCCATCCATCCATCCATCCATCCATTTTCTTCCCCTTAATCCATTTCTGGGTCGGGGGGGTGGCAGTCAGAGCTGCACCCAGTACACAGAGCACCAGCTCTGAAAACAAGTAAATTTTCAAAAACTCAACCAATAATGTGAGATTAACAAAAATGTAACAATTAAAAGTGACAAAAACTGAACACAAGAGACAAAAACGCAAATTAGGTGTAAAATAATGTGGAAAAAGTGATGGTAACAACACAAGGGAAGAGATGAGTTCAGATCCATTTTGTAGGTCTTAGCTTTTGAATGAGGCGTTACACTGGCTTTAGGTTGCAACTTTTAGATTTGGGTAAAGCTGAACTGGAGAAAATGCACTCGTTTAAGGCGGGAAGTAAGGGGTTAAAAATGTTTTCCTGTTCGACTCGATGATATTCATATTCATAGTTCACCAATTTTCCATACTGATTATTGTTCTTACCTTAGCTTTCATGGCTTCATCGTGTTATTGCTGATTTTTTTATTTTATTGTTCCGCAGTCTGTTTTTGTCATCATTGTTCAGATAATTGTTGTGTAAAAGTATATTCTTGTTTAATTAATAAAAGGGTTGAGCCTTAAATTTGTGTTCAGTGTCCTGTGTTTGAATTGTAATAATGCATGTGATTATTATGAGAATATGCTTTTTTAGACATTAAAATTATCAGAAATTGTATTTTTAATATGCACTTTCAATCTAGTAAAATTATCTATATTTCAATGAAATAATTGTGCTGCTAAAACATGATTTTATTGATGGTTCAATGTGAACAAATTGTGGAAAATTGCATGATAAAGTCACGTTTGTCTAATGCAAAATTCTTAGGTGTAGTGAACAGGAGATATTCATTACAATGTAACGTGATTTTTTTATGTGCAATATTCATGTTGACATAACATGATTTTATTATATGCAACCGATGTCCATACTTTTTTTATGTTAATCCAACAGATTTTTTCTTTCAGTGTGTATGGCTAGTCCAGAGCCAGTCCAGAGCTAGTCCAGGACTGTTGGTTGATACGCAACAAAAAGAACTCACATTTCACGATACAAAGATAACTTTATAAAACAAAGTAATAGAAATAAACCACAGAAAGAAGCAGACAAAGGCAACATTATGACGACCAAAACTGTACATACTTCAAAACTAAAAGCAGTCATATTGACTGCTCTGAGAGTTTCGCACTCCCAGAGCATTCTCACTTCTCTGTGCTACCCTCCACTGGTCGATATATCTTACAACCAACTCTGCTCTCCCCCAGACGCGGGTCGCACTTGTCTCATAATGACGCCGCCTTTCAGCCGTCTCATCTCCGCTCCTCGGGGCCAAATCCAATTACAAAGCGCACAATGGAAACCTGCTCCACACGCGCCGCTGCCGCTCCACCACCGCGCCTGCCTGGCATTCTCCACGCCCGCACACCGCACCCACACCGCGTCCCCACCGCTGCCTCATCATGTCGAGGGCCCATCTCCACCGCTGCTTCATCATGTCGAGGGCCTGCTGCACCTGGGCAAACACAAACACTTAGAAATGGGGTCTCTGAGGTCTGCGAGCAACAAAAGGTCAATCTTACGGACACAACATGCAGCTGTAGGATTATGAGCGGTGCCATTAAGAAAACACACACGAATACCAGGTTTTGTAGAAGCTCCAAAGAGTATAGAGAACATGGTACTCCACTCTTTGCTCACAGAGGTCCAGCTCAAACACATTCAAACTCGGGTTAGGATTAGGACTATTAAGAGTGTTGACACTTGAGGTCTCTAAATGAAAGAAAACTAGAGATACTGGGATTTTAGTACAGAGTTTTCATTCGTGAGTGTGTGTGTGTGTGTGTATGTATATGTATGAGCGTGTGCGTGCGCCTCAAATGTGAAGGTTTTTTTTTTCACTGAGCAGTGTCGCCATCTAGTGTAGTCTGCGCAATGTATATATATATATATATATATACATATATATATATATATATATAAAAATATATTATATTATATATATATTAAAAAAAAAATATATATATATATTTTTAATACAGTTTACGTCTCAGCTTTTATTTTAATTTAATTCAATTTTAAGACTGATCTACCAACTCATAGCAAGACGTACAGTTAATGTACAGTAGAGAACATTTATATTATGTTCCCAAAGAACCAACCAATGATTGATCTGATCTCACATGAAAAACACATATAATCTTTATATATTAACATGAAAGGTATCTCGTATTATTACTTGTTTCGGTAACAATTTCAATATTTAAAAACACGTTTAACAAGTGTATGTGTACCTGCTTATGTATGTTTTTGGTCTTGTTAACTTAATAACAAGAAGGGCTGCTGCTGATTGTTACTATTGTTGTATTGTCAGTTTTATTTTTTATTTTTGCTGCTACCTGAATTTCTGATCAATAAAGTATCTATCTATCTATAGAAAAGAACAATAAACTATTTATCTATATATCTAACTTTGTGAGTTTTTGTGCTAGTTACCATGACAACACAGTGTTTTGGGAGTTCCAGTAGCTTCAGAATTGTATGAGACTGTGTTAAAGAGTTTTAGCATGTATTAAAGATAAAAGCCGAATTACTTACTACTAATTAATAATAGTGAAAACCTAAAAACTGAATTCCATTCGTTTGAATGGGACACGTCAAAATGACTGCTCTGGGAGGTCTGGGTGTTACTTTTTTTTTTGCCGGATGTTTACATTTTCAACCCGGAAGCTGGTCTTTGGTGAGTTCCGGTTTGTTGTAACGGCACGATGGCTGCGGGTGGAGTGACCGCGGACGCAGATCTGATGCGGTACGCGGAATACGCGCCGAAAACAGGCCACAGGAGCGACGCAGAGATCGACCGGAGACTGGTGAGTGCAAACCGGGAAGACCGAGGCCGTGGGGTGGTATGTACCGGAGCTCTCCTCTGGTCACGGGCGAATGGCAGCGTGACATTTGCGTCAGCCTCATGTTGCATGGGGAGAACAAGCAAACGCGTCGTTACTAAACTCTCCAATTGCAAACAACGGATGTGGAGTTGTTTTTAGCTTCATGCTCGCTCATGTTAGGAACGTCACCCATCAATCTGCACGAACACGTAACATGTAATAAGCATGACAGGGCCTGGTTAGTACTGTGATGGGAGACCTCTGGTTATGAAGCGCCAAACTGTGGTTGTGTCCTTAGGCAAGACCCCACAATAGAATGGACCTGGTGTGTGTTTGTGGTGGTGGGAGGGGCCGATAGCACAGACTAGTTGCCTTGCTCTTGTCAGTGTGCCCCAGGGCAACTGTAGCAACAGTAGTAATTTATTACCACTGTGTTTGGAGTGGAAGAATAAGATGTGAAGCTTCTGTGCGTCCAAAAAACTCAATAATTTTAATATTTCCTAAATTTTATATGAAGTTCAGTTTTCTGTGCCTTTGTTGACATCTCAGCCCCATTATTTCAAATTATGCATAATCTTTGGTTTTTAAAATTATTTTTCTATTTTGAAGAAAAAAAGTTTCTTCAGAATAGAATTGTGCTATGGCCATGTAATATTATATATTATATGTTATATTTCTGCAGATAACTGAAGCGTTATTTCTTCCACAGGGAGGCACTCTGATAGCTGTGGGTCTGGGGGTGGCTGCTGCTGGATTTGCCGGTATTTATATTACTGTGTTTTTTTCATTTTCTGAATCGGAGTTTACACCATGGATGCCAAATACCCCATAAATAATATCACAAGCAGTTAATCAGAGAAAACATTTAGCCAAACTACAGCATAGGCCATGAGTACAGGGCCACAGTGACGATGTCCTCTTTGTAAAACATGAGAATCCATGACCACAAATGTGTTTTTTTACAAGTACGTGTTAATGAACTAACATTAAAGGCATTTAGGGAGAAAGTCACCAATTCAAATTGAGTTGTGTTTGAAAATATTTGGTGTACATCACTGTCAGTCATTGTCTCAGCACCAATCACACGTCCCCTTTTGCTCAGGCCACACATGCTCAGTGGATCAGTGTGTAGATGTAGCCACTTAGCAGCTAGCAGCTAATGTGGGTTCTGCTCCACAGGACGTTATGCCTTTCAGCTGTGGAAACCTCTGGGACAGGTGTTTTCTGAGAGGGTCAAGAACATGCCGTCAATGGTCAGTCTTCATTCTTTGGTTCCTTTTAAAGCAAACATGTTTCTCTGTCCATTTCTGAGCCTAAATTAAACCCATTTACAATATTTTTCCTCGTTAACAAACAGGTCTGGTCTCGTTTTCAGTTTCACCCACAAATCTGAGCAGACCCCTGCCATATTCACACAAAACGTTTTTACATTACTCTTTGTTGATCATCAACTTCTGGATTTTAAAGAATCTGAATCCACAGTCAGTCAGATTAGGTTCTACAACTAGAAACACAGGATGTCATTTCACACTTCCACCTCAATGTTGGAACGCTACCTTTTCTCGTCCTCTCTTACTCCATTCATGTTTTCCATATAGTTTATACACTCTATACCATAAGGTAAAGAAAAGCTTCTCAAGAAAAGGTTCAGGCTCAAATTGTACACCTTTTTGTTGAACCTCAGAGAGGACTCAGGGCAGCTGTGGCTCCAGGTCTGAGGTCCAACATGAGCAGAAGCACAGACTCCACCCATTTCCTCTGTGGCGTCTCTGCTCCTGCTGCAGCCACACCTGCCCTGACACGCCATGTTTGAAGATGACCCTAACCACTCTTTTAGGCGTTCTTTAAATGCAGTAACACTGGGGGCCTCCTCTCTCATAGACGGGGGGCCTCCTCTCTCGCAGACGGGGGGCCTCCTCTCTCGCAGACGGGGGGCCTCTCTGATGTGTACTTGTCCACAGGTCTCTGCGTTCTACAAAGGAGGATTTGAACAGAAAATGACCAAACGTGAGGCCAGTCTGATCCTCGGCATCAGGTACAGCTCTAAACTACACCTGGTACAGCTCTAAACTACACCTGGTACAGCTCTGAACTACACCTGGTACAGCTCTGAACTACACCTGGTACAGCTCTGAACTACACCTGGTACAGCTCTGAACTACACCTGGTACAGCTCTGAACTACACCTGGTACAGCTCTAAACTACACCTGGTACAGCTCTGAACTACACCTGGTACAGCTCTGAACTACACCTGGTACAGCTCTGAACTAACTACACCTGGTACAGCTCTGAACTAACTACACCTGGTACAGCTCTAAACTAACTACACCTGGTACATCTCTAAACTAACTACACCTGGTACATCTCTAAACTAACTACACCTGGTACATCTCTAAACTAACTACACCTGGTACAGCTCTAAACTAACTACACCTGGTACAGCTCTAAACTAACTACACCTGGTACAGCTCTAAACTAACTACACCTGGTGCAGCTCTAAACTAACTACACCTGGTGCAGCTCTAAACTAACTACACCTGGTGCAGCTCTAAACTAACTACACCTGGTGCAGCTCTAAACTAACTACACCTGGTGCAGCTCTAAACTAACTACACCTAGTGCAGCTCTAAACTAACTACACCTGGTGCAGCTCTAAACTAACTACACCTAGTGCAGCTCTAAACTACACCTGGTTTCTGTCTCTGCAGCCCGACCAGCACCAAGGCCAAAGTCAGAGAAGCTCATCGCAGAATCATGGTCCTGAACCACCCTGACAAAGGTACACACCTGGTCCACCCTGACATAGGTACACACACCTGGTCCACCCTGACATAGGTACACACACCACACCTGGTCCACCCTGACATAGGTACACACACCTGAACCACCCTGACAAAGGTACACACACCTGAACCACCCAGACATAGGTACACACACCTGAACCACCCTGACAAAGGTACACACACCTGAACCACCCTGACAAAGGTACAAGCATGTCCCCACAGTCTGTCTAAAAGCTCAGTCCTGTTATAGTATGACATCAGTGACATTACTATGACATCACTGACATTACTGTGACATCACACTCAGAGCAGTTTTCTGACTTTCAAAGTAAAAACCATAGTGTTAGATGAACATTAGCTAGCTGGAGCCAACTTCCTTATATGGGCATTTGTTCCAGCAGCAATTAGCGTTAGCTCTGGATTGCAGATTTCCAAAGGCAATATCACATACAAACAGCGGGGTCACAGCACGATAAACCAGATTTAAGCCCAACATGGATTTGACGTTACTGAGTTAGAGGAGTTTACTTTTACATGGACGTCAATAGGAGCCAGACAGAGGAGCCTAACTTCACCATGAGCACTTCCCTATTAGGCTTCTCTGAGCGATCGGGCTAGCATTGCACATTGAAATGCAGTCTATGATTACATGTGAATTCTTTCCTCTCAGGTGGATCTCCGTACATCGCGGCCAAAATCAACGAAGCGAAAGACTTTCTGGACAAAGACATTCGACGATGAGGCTCTCGCTGTGAACCCGCATCCTTTTGGAACGTGTATTTAAAAACAGATATTTATTCGAACATATTATTACACACACGCATAATGGTGTGCCCCTGTCTCTCCTGGACTCTTATTGTGGAACAATTATGACTGCAGCTGAAGCAAACACCAATAAAGTCCAACTGTGACTAAAAAGGACATTGACCCGGTGTGAATGTGCTGCAGATGCTTTACTGAATAAAATTTGTCAAGTGTGTCAGGTTTTTGTTCATACAGAGCTTTTCTAAACACGTATTTCCTCATAGTAACATAAGCAGTGTTCCCCATTACAGGTGTTAGCAGGAATGCCATGCCCTGCCGCTTATGGCTCTTTTGGCCTCGACAAAACATTATCCGCAAAACAAGGAGCGTTGCGGTTAATGTGGCCTGAGATGGGGAAGAGCGTGTGCAGACCAGGACAGTGCAGAAGTGGTCTTGGTCTGATTACAGCGGTGTTGGTTCTGAGAAATTAGGAGAAGGCACACTGGAATCAACAAAGCTTCTGTCGTTAACGTTTTTCTTTCATGAATATGTCCCAACAGCAAGAATAGTGCAAAAGCCGAATGCTCTTAATCTCATTAGAAATTGGTTATATACTGTATCGTTAACTTGTAAGAAAAGCCCTGGAGTCAGTATTTGACCCAGGGCTGTTTGTCCCACAGTGGGGAAATTTCAGTGTTGCATCAGCAGTCACAGAACAGTAGGTATGAGGACCACACGGCACAAGATAATACAATACAATACAATTTATTCTTGTATAGCCCTAGGTCACAACAGAAGTCATCTCAGAGGACTTAACAAAACCATTGAAATCACCAACACAGGTCAGAGAATCAACAGTTAAAACACATGAAGAATATAAAGCACACACAGAAGAAAATGTCCATACATGTTGTAGAATGCTAAAGTGTCCTGATCATCACCAATCCTTTCTGTTGGACACTAACTGTCCAACAAGACCCTCCTGCATCGACAAGGAAAAACTCTTAAAAAACCCAGTGGGAAAAAGTGAGAAACCTTGGAGGAGAACTAGGGAAACCCACAGGGAGGGAGACCCATATGAGAAAGGGATTCGCTCCTCCGGACGGACAGGCTAATGATCTAGGATCTAAGCTAGCTACAGAACGTGGACCAGTGGACGCTGAACGTGGACAGGTCCGGTACAGGACTGAAGCACTCCCAGGCGGGTCGGGCGGGGCAGTCCGCAGGTGTAGATGGAAGAGGCCAGGCTCAGAGATCCCGTCATCGTACCATGAAACAGACAATGGGACAACGGGTGAATAGCAATGAACAAACTACAGTCAGAATCCTAAAAATGCTAAACAGATAAAGTAGGAAGGAGGAGAGGATAGTGCTCAAGTTACCATACTTCTCCCAGCAAACTGACTCCCTATGCAGCTTGACTAACACTCTGAGGAGTTTAACCTTCTCCGAGTCTTACCTTCCTAGCCATATGCTAAACTAAAGAGGACTGTTTTAAACCTAGCCTTGAATAAAGAATAACATACAGCATAATATATAACATAATATACAACATAACACAATACATTATTGAATAATATATAACATAATATATAACATAATACAGCATATATATATATAATATATACACTACATATTATATATTACCTAATTATATGCTAAATTAAAGTAAAGTGCTTTAAGCCTGGCCTTGAATGTGGAGACCGTATCTGCTTCCTTAACATAATTGGGAAGCTGATTCCACAGTAAAGGAGCTTGGTAGCTAAATGCTCTGCCACCAACAGTGACCTTTGAGACCTTAGGGACCACCAGACGTCTGGCGTTTTGTGAGCGCAACGCTCGACCTGGTTGATACGACACTAACGTGTCTTGGAGATAAGAAGGAGCCAAGCCATTTATGGCTTTATATGTTAAGAGTAGGATTTTAAACTTTATTCTGTACTCCACAGGGAGCCAGTGGAGTGATTTTAACACCGGAGTTATGTGCTCCCTCCTTTTGGTACCTGTTAAGATCCTAGCTGCTGTATTCTGAACGAGCTGGAAGCTCTTCAAGGAGGCTTTAGGGCACGCTGCCAGTAAAGCGTTACAGTAGTCGATCCTTGAGGTGACAAACGCGTGAATGAGTTTTTCCGCGTCACTTTTAGGAAGGAAATTCCTAATTTTAGCGATGTTCCGTAAGTGGAAGTACGTCGTTTTAGTTGCTTGGCTTATATAAGCCTTGAAGGAGAGTTCTTGGTCAAAAATGACTCCAAGATTCCTCACAGTGTTACTGGGTATTATACTGACATTATCGAGAGTAACCATCTGGTTAGTGAGGGAGTCACGCAGGCGCTTCGGACCGAGTAGGATCACTTCTGTCTTCTCCGGGTTGAGAAGTAGGAAGTTAAGAGTCATCCACATTTTAAGGTCCTTTATGCAGGCACTGAGCTTTTCTAGCTGATCTGTCTGATTAGGCTTCATCGACAGATAAAGCTGTGTGTCATCTGCATAGCAGTGGAAATTAATTCCATGCTTTTTAATAATGTTTCCCAGTGGCAGCATGTAGAGAGTAAAAAGAATCGGTCCGAGTACCGAACCCTGCGGCACACCGAATTCCACTCCAGAATAAGGCGACGAGTCCTGATTCACATTGACGAAGTGATATCGATCTGATAAATAGGATTTAAACCAGCCAAGGGCTGTTCCTCTAAGACCTATATCACATTCTAGCCTCTGCAGTAGAATGCTGTGGTCTATTGTGTCAAATGCAGCACTAAGGTCCAGTAGGACCAGCACTGACACTTGTCCATTATCGGCAGCTAGTAGTAAGTCATTTGTGACTTTGACTAGTGCCGTTTCAGTGCTATGATGAGCTCTGAATCCTGATTGAAAGACTTCAAACATATCATTTTCCTGCAGGTGGCAGCGGAGCTGCTCAGCTATAAGTTTTTCCAGGATTTTAGATATAAAAGTGAGGTTTGAGATCGGTCTGTAGTTTGTAAGTATTTCTGGGTCCAGGTTTGTTTTCTTCAGAAGGGGTTTGATTACCGCGGTTTTAAAAGCTTGTGGGACATAGCCACATTGTATGGATGCGTTTATTATATTTACGATAGGCTCAATTATTGAAGGAAGTATGTCTTTGAAGAGCCATGTCGGGACTGCGTCTAACATGCAAGTTGAGGCTTTTGAGGATGTGACCACAGAGATCACCTCTGCTTGGCTCACAGCCATGAATTTATTAAGGCCCACTGAAGAGTCTAAGTGGGAAGTCACGTATGCCGCTTCAACCTGTCCACCACTAACAGCAGGAGCAACCTCCTCCAGCTTGTCACGGATGGATGTAATTTTATTATTAAAGAAGTGGAGAAAGTCGACACTGCTCAGTGAGCTTGGAATTTTAGGCTCGATTGCGCTATGGCAGTTTGTGAGTTTAGCGACGGTACCAAACAAAAATCTACTGTTGTTTTTATTCGCTTCTATTAAAGTTGAATAGTATTGAGTTCGAGCCCCGCGAAGGGCCTTCTTGTAGTTTCGGAGACCTGCTTTCCACTCCCTGTGGACAGGCTCCGAGTGGGAGTGGCGATATAGCCTCTCCAATTTTCTGACGTCCTGTTTTAAAGTGTGGAGTTGAACACTGTACCAGGGCGACGATGATCTAATCCTAATGGTTTTCTGTTTTAAAGGAGCTGCTGCATTTAATGCAGATTTTAAAGACTCCATAGTGTTGCCCACCGATTGGTCAATGACTGAGGGACTGCAGCTGCTGTGAACAGGTTCACCTGCAGCAGTATTCAACATAGGCTGTATTAGTTCTTTGAACCTTGTGATAGATTTATCATTTAAGGTTCTTTTCATTATGGTTTTATCTTGCGGGACAGGAAAGTCCTCCAAAGCGAGATCAAACGTGATCAAGAAATGGTCAGACAGCAACGAGCTTTGACGCTGGATGTCAACATTGGAGACATCACAGCCGTAGGTCAGGACAAGGTCCAAGGTGTGGTTATGAATGTGAGTAGGTTCCTCGACATTCTGAGTAAAACCAACACCATCTAGTACGGCGCTGAAAGCTTTGTTTAAGCTGTCAGTGCTGTCGTCCACATGTATATTGAAGTCTCCAGCTATAACTATGTTTTCCCATTCCAAAACTAGGTTTGAAATGAAGTCAGAGAATTCTGTTAGGAACTCGCTGTAAGGACCAGGAGGTCGGTATAAAACTATAAATAGTACTGCTTTTTGTTTTCTCCACCCAGGACAGGTGATTGAAAGTGTTAAGTTTTCAAACGAGTGAAAAGCGTTGTTGGTTTTGGGACTAAGAACCAAGTTGGTGTGTGATATAATCGCAACGCCACCGCCGCGACTTGTAGTTCTGGCTTTCTGGTAGTTAACATGCGTCGGAGGAGTGCACTCATTCAATCTAACGTAGTCGTCCTGTTGGAGCCAAGTCTCCGAGAGCGCAAACAGATCCAAGCCCTTGTCCATAATAAGTTCGTTTATGAGAAGCGATTTAGACGAGATTGATGACGTTCATTAAACCACATTTAACAACCCTACCGCTAGAACTATTTCTGTCTGTCTGAACTTTTATTAAGTTACTGTGTCTGACACCTAGGTCAGATTTCCTCGCATATAGTGCTTTAGACTTCAAGCGGGGAACACACACAGTTTCAATCTGACTAGGTTCTGAGGCTAGTAACTGAGCACACACAGGCACACACACACACAGTTTTCAATCTGACTAGCCTCTGAGGCTAGTAACTGAACAGATGGGGGCTCAGAGGTTGTGGCAGAGCAGCTCTGCACCCGGGCCTCAGTTCTGCATCGTCATTTGAGCCGAGCAGAACAGTTTAGAGCCAGGGCCAAATTCTTAGCCAAAAGGGATGTACCCGCCAACGTTGGGTGGATATCATCCGAGCGGATGAGACCGGGCTTTCCCCAAAAGGCACTCCAATTGTCAACATGAACAACACCACTTGGAGGGCACCAGCCAGACAGCCAGCGGTTGAAAGCCGAGTGTCTGCTGAATGCTTCTGCACTGCTAGTGCTAGGTAGGGGCCCAGAGAAGATGACAGTGTCGGCCATTGTGCTAGCCAGCTTGCACACGGCGGCGACTTGCAGCTTCAACACCTCGGACTGTTTCCGCCGAACGTCATTACCACCCGCGTGAATAACAATTCGACGGAAACGCTGCTTGTGGGTCATCATGAGCCTCAGATTCCCTTCAATATCACCAAGCCTGGCCCCAGGGAAGCTGAGATAAATGAACAATAACTACTACAAATAAATGTAGTGCTTGGTGTGTGTGTATTTTCTTTATTGAAATGTAACAGACCCCAAACCAAAACCAAGGGAGACGATGTAAAGAATCTTGAATCTTAAACTCCAACTTTAGCATAATGAAGAAGCAAGAATTAAGTACAAAAGTTAATGTTTGGCACAAGCAGGAAGAAAGTGTTTGATCCCGGTCATGGATCTTCTGTCTGTGGCGTGCTTTAAAGCATGTTGCTACTCAGAAACAAATCGACAACACTGTATTTCAAAATAAAAGTATGTGCGGTGTTGTGCACATACTGTTAAAAAATGGTATTGTCCCATAAAAATGAATGGTTAGCGAAATATGTTTGTTGTAACAGAATTGGGCGGTGGGTGTTCTGGGGGTTGTCCTTGAAGCAAAAAAAGGTCAGGCTCAGGATTTGTTTATACCTACACATAGACACTCACATGCACAAAGATACATATGGAGAAACCACGGTTTATGGCCATACTTGCGTGCTAAAGCCGGATCCTGTCAAACCTTTGAGGCTTTGCAGGACAGGGACTGGTTAGTACTGTGATGGGAGACCTTTGGGAACACCAGGTGCCACAGTGGGGCAGCTGCGGCTGTGAAGTGCCAAACAGTCAAGACACTTATTGCCGAGTTTGAGTCTCACCGAACACTTAGTACGAGTCTGGTGGGTAGTATGTGAATGATTGGTGATAGTGGGAGAGGCCGATTGCACATACTGGTTGCCTCGCTTCTGTCAGTGTACCCCAGGGCAGCTGTGGCTACAGTAGTAGTTTATCACCACTGTATGGAGTGAAAGAATAGTGACGTGTGAAGCGTCTTTGAGTGTCCAAAAAGCGCGGTATAAAACAAATGCAAATAGTGTAAGCCTGTTTTTATAATCCAACCATTTTATCCAGTGTTTTTCAAAGATGAGCTGTAGTGAAAAAGTTAGACTTTCCGTTGAATAAGATCCTCGTTATAATTTTCCTTGTCGCAACTAGGAGTATTTTTAAGAGATAATGGTCCTCTATAATGTCTTGGGGCAAAAAGTGTTGGTGATTTTGGTGACTTTGAGGTCTTTGCAAGTGGAGAGAACGTATGTGCGGCGGGGAACTGGCCCCTGTTACTACCATGCGCTTTTTTATTTGAATCATTTTACATAACTACTTTTATTAAAGCTCTGACTCTGTCGGCTTCATCAAACCACGTTCTCCAACATCCGATGAAGAGTAGTTGAAGTCTCCGGGTGTCGGTCACAGAGAGGGAAAGACGGCGGCCGCTTTAATGGACTGTTGTGTTGAAGAGGGAGCAGTGTCTGCAGTCAGAGCTTGTCATCTTTGTTCATGAGATTTGCCTGTTTCAGTTTCTCCGGACAAAAACAAGAGTTCAGTTCTGTGTTTGTGACTAGGACAAAATATGAAAATGGCCCCATGGTTTATTCACAGCACCCGCTCCCAAGCCTCTTCAGTTAAATATACACATATATGTCAACATTTTTTGAATGTTGAAATGACAAACTCCAGACGACGGCTGTAATTGTTCCAATGGAAGTGAAAGATTATTAGATGTGTAAATGTGTAACCCACGCTGCGAAGGAATGAGTAACAAGAGACATCTTCAAGAATGTGTTTTAATGATCAAACAATACTACGGAAAACACAGAAACTAAACATAAGGTCCTTGTTGGGTTTTCATTCTTTGGTCCGTTCGTCCGTAAGACTTTGGTCTCGCTCTGTCTCTAGTCTCTCACAGGTCTCTCTGGTTTGGTCTCAGGGCTCTTGGTCCTGGGCTCACCTATGTCTTCTTCTCTCTGGTCTCTCTCTGGTCTCTCTCTGGTCTCTCTCTGGTCTCTCTCTGGTCTCTATCTGGTCTCTCTCTGGTCTCCTCTGTTCTCTCTCTGTTCTCTCTCTGTTCTCTCTCTCTGGTCTCTCTATGGTCTCTCCCTTGTCTCTCTCTGGTCTCTCTCTGGTCTTTCTCTGGTCTCTCCCTCGTCTCTCTCTTGTCTCTCCCTGGTCTCTCTCTTGTCTCTCCCTGGTCTCTCTCTTGTCTCTTTCTGGTCTCTCTCTCTCTGGTCTCTCTCTGGTCTCTCCCTGGTCTCTCCCTGGTCTCTCTCTCTGGTCTCTCTCTCTGGTCTCTCTCTCTGGTCTCTTTCTGATCTCTCTCTAGTCTCTCACAGGTCTCTTCGGTTTGGTCTCAGGGCTCTTGGTCCTGGGCTCACCTATGTCCTCTCTCTGGTCTCTCTCTCTTGTCTCTCCCTGGTCTCTCTCTTGTCTCTCCCTGGTCTCTCTCTTGTCTCTTTCTGGAATCTCTCTTTGGTCTCTCTCTCTCTGGTCTCTCTCTGGTCCCTCACTGGTCTCTCTCTCTAGTCTCTCACAAGTCTCTTTGGTTTGGTCTCAGGGCTCTTGGTCCTGGACTCACCCATGTCCTCTCTCTCTGGTCTCTCTCTGGTCTCTCTCTCTGGTCTCTCCCTGGTCTCTCCCTGGTCTCTCCCTGGTCTCTCTTTGATCTCTCTCTAGTCTCTCACAGGTCCTCTCTGGTCCAGCTCACAGGGACCCAGTGCTCCTGGTCCTGGGCTCTCTGGACCAGGGAGCAGAGCTGGAGACAGGACTCGTGCAGGTCTCTGTTCACTAACACACAGTCAAACAGCTGCCGATACTTTGATTCCATCAGTTTAGATGTTTGCTCCAGCTCCAAAAAGTCCTCCTCCTGAAAACATATGAAAAATACTATTAAAGAACAAATGTCAGGCTTTATTTGTATTCATTTGGACCTTTTAAAGCTGGGGAACCTGAGCGTTTCCACCTAAATAATACATTTTATAGAGCTGATTGGCTGATTGACTTTTCTGTCTGAGAGAGCGAGTTACTAGTTCTGGACTTTTCTACATGGTTCAGTTCCTGGAGGTTGAGAAGCAGAAACATTCGCCGCTGGTGGTGATGGCTGAACATGAGAAAGATCACAGTGTCCCTCTGTCCTGGGCTCTGTGACACCGAGGAACAAAACGGTCCGGTCACTGCTTCTGCCTGTGTATCATTCAATTCTTTTCAATTCAATTAATTTGTGTTTTGCCCTAAAAAAAACATTACAAAGCTGTCGATATGCCAACACAGATCAGACAGAGAATCAATCAGTCCGAAAACAGGAAATGCAGTAATAAAAAACACGTAGAGCCATTGGTCCATAAAGGGCAGAGACCAATGTCCATAAATGTTGATAAAGTCCGTCTGATTGGTCGTGAGTTGAGAGCTGCCACACAGAAGGACGTTGTGGCAGTATGAGGCCACAAGGAGGCGGTAGTGTGTATGCTTTAAAGTAAGTGGCCCCTTCTCTCCAGTCCTGGCCTGTCAGATGGACTGACTCTATACTGTAGCATGAAACCTAATCTTATTTATGAAATTTTGTACACTTAAAACACATAAATGTTAATGTCTCTCTCTCGTCTCTTTCTCGCTCTCTCTCTGGTTTCTTTCTCTCGCTCTGGTCTCTCTCTATTTGGTTTCTCTTTCTCTGGTGTCTCTCTCTTTGGTCTCTCTAGTACCTCACTAATTTCTCTCTCTCTTTCTGGTCTATCTCTATTTGGCCTCTCTCTCTCTTTGGTCTCTCTCTCTGGTATCTCTAGCTTCTCTCTGGTCTTTATCGCTCTCTCTTTTTCTGGTCTCTCTCTCTTTGGTCGCTCTCTGTCTGGTCTCTCTATTCTCTCTCTGGTCTCTCTCTGGTCTCTCTCTGGTCTCTATCTCTCTCTGATCTCTCTCTGGTCTCTCTCTGGTCTCTCTCTGGTCTCTCTCGGGTCTCTCTCGGGTCTCTCTCTAGTCTCTCTCTCTGGTCTCTCTCTCTGGTCTCTCTCTGGTCTCTCTCTGGTCTCTCTCTGGTCTCTCTCTGGTCTCTCTCTGGTCTCTCTCTAATCTCTCTCTGGTCTCTCTCTCTGGTCTCTCTCTGGTCTCTCTCTGGTCTCTCTCTGGTCTCTCTCTGGTCTCTATCTCTCTCTGATCTCTCTCTGATCTCTCTCTGGTCTCTTTCTGGTCTCTCTCGGGTCTCTCTCGGGTCTCTCTCTAGTCTCTCTCTCTAGTCTCTCTCTCTGGTCTCTCTCTGGTCTCTCTCTGGTCTCTCTCTGGTCTCTCTCTAATCTCTCTCTGGTCTCTCTCTCTGGTCTTTCTCTGGTCTCTCTCTGGTCTCTCTCTGGTCTCTCTCTGGTCTCTCTCTCTAGTCTCTCTCTCTGGTCTCTCTCTGGTCTCTCTCTGGTCTCTCTCTGGTCTCTCTCTGGTCTCTCTCTGGTCTCTCTCTGGTCTCTCCCTGGTCTCTCTCGGGTCTCTCTCGGGTCTCTCTCGGGTCTCTCTCTAGTCTCTCTCTCTAGTCTCTCTCTCTGGTCTCTCTCTGGTCTCTCTCTGGTCTCTCTGGTCTCTCTCTAATCTCTCTCTGGTCTCTCTCTCTGGTCTCTCTCTCTGGTCTCTCTCTCTGGTTTCTCTCTGGTCTCTCTCTGGTCTCTCTCTGGTCTCTCTCGGGTCTCTCTCTAGTCTCTCTCTCTAGTCTCTCTCTCTGGTCTCTCTCTCTGGTCTCTCTCTGGTCTCTCTCTGGTCTCTCTCTGGTCTCTCTCTAATCTCTCTCTGGTCTCTCTCTCTGGTCTCTCTCTGGTCTCTCTCTGGTCTCTCTCTGGTCTCTCTCTGATCTCTCTCTGGTCTCTCTCTGGTCTCTCTCGGGTCTCTCTCGGGTCTCTCTCGGGTCTCTCTCTAGTCTCTCTCTCTAGTCTCTCTCTCTGGTCTCTCTCTGGTCTCTCTCTGGTCTCTCTCTGGTCTCTCTCTAATCTCTCTCTGGTCTCTCTCTCTGGTCTTTCTCTGGTCTCTCTCTGGTCTTTCTCTGGTCTCTCTCTGGTCTTTCTCTGGTCTCTCTCTGGTCTCTCTCTGGTCTCTCTCTGGTCTCTCTCTGGTCTTTACCGTAAACCTGCGGTGGTGTCCATCCTTGGTGAGGATCCAGGCCTCTCTGCGACTCTCCCTCAGTCTGATCGGCTCTGGGACTTTGACGAAGATCACAAATGGTTTCAGGGTCTTGGTCCGCAGGGAATGGATACTCTGGAGAACAGTGGTAGATGATAGAATTGTCAAAGTTTAGTTCAGATAAATGTGAAGCACGTTCTCACACTCACTCTGGGCTCCACGTCCATCACACAGACCCGTCCCTGCAGCAGCACCTCCTCCACCTCCTCAAAGCTGGTTCCATACAGGTGTCCTCTGTGCTCCCCCTGCTCCACAAACCTGCAGGACAGACTTCTATAAGGAGCCACGGACATAATCTCTCTCTGGTCTCTCTCTCTGGTCTCTCTCTGGTCTCTCTCTGGTCTCTCTCTGGTCTCTCTCTGGTCTCTCTCTGGTCTCTATCTCTCTCTGATCTCTCTCTGATCTCTCTCTGGTCTCTCTCTGGTCTCTCTCGGGTCTCTCTCTAGTCTCTCTCTCTAGTCTCTCTCTCTAGTCTCTCTCTGGTCTCTCTCTGGTCTCTCTCTGGTCTCTCTCTGGTCTCTCTCTAATCTCTCTCTGGTCTCTCTCTCTGGTCTTTCTCTGGTCTCTCTCTGGTCTCTCTCTGGTCTCTCTCTGGTCTCTCTCTGGTCTCTCTCTCTAGTCTCTCTCTCTGGTCTCTCTCTGGTCTCTCTCTGGTCTCTCTCTGGTCTCTCTCTGGTCTCTCTCTGGTCTCTCCCTGGTCTCTCTCGGGTCTCTCTCGGGTCTCTCTCTAGTGGCACCAAAAACATTTTTCCAAGTAACAGTCGACCAACAGAATTGGCAAGTTGTTCATAGACGTCCAATTAAATTGTATGGTATGACTCAGTCATTTGTACTCCCAGAACATGAACGTACTAGAAGTGAGCATATGATGATTTTTGCATTATCAATGAAAATCTACGGTATGTTTAAAGGTGACAGGGACAGATAATGTGTTTTTGTTTGTTACCAAGCGGATTAATTAAAGTCTTCAAACATAATATCTTTGAGTAAATATCTTCACGAAGTGAAGAGTACCAGTATTTGCTGCTCCTTATCTTTCTGCTTTCACTGGAATGTTAAGAACAGAACTCACTTCGTACAGTAATAATAAAACATTTTTAAATATTATAACGTGGAACGGTTGCAGCTTATAGTCCAAAAAGTACAGCATATAGAATGATATAGATATTGTATCTAATAAAAAAATAAACATGAATTCTGAACATCCTTTGATCCTCTCCTTCTGTTAAAACTCTAACATTCACCTGTGTTCAGCGGTCATGTGATCAAATGTCTCTCTGCTCACAAAGTGGTATTCTCGTCCTGTCTGCTCCTCGGCTCTGATTGGACGAGCCGTATCTGAAGAGAGAGAATGTAAGTCACATGGCACACGCGTGTGCAAACATGTGGTGTACGTACGGGGCACTGGGCCCTGCAGAACCAGAGGGTTGGTTTGGATCAGCCTCTTCCTCAGCTCAGAGACTCCCACTCCAGAGGCTCCTGCACAAACACAAGAAGAAGAAATGATAATACAACAATAATAATAATAATAATAATAATGATCAGATCCACATTAGATGTCAGATCTAGGATTTCAATTCAATACAATTCGACACATTTCTTAATGAAGCAATACAGTAAATAATAAAGGCCTACATTTAAACTTAAGTCTAATATTTAATATAGTGATGATTTATTGTTAATTAATTATTATTTAAATCAATAATAATGAATAATATATTAATTCTATAAAAAAGGTAAAAGCTATGGAAAAAATTATATTTACTAATATAAATTATATATTATAATCTGTATTAATCTCCAAATAGATAAGAGGGTCTAATATTCTACAGACACTGTATATCATTTATGAAAAAACTAGCCTGTATGTGCCTCTCTGTATATATTTATTTGTTTATTTGGATGTGATTCATGACCAGTAGGAGCTACACACGGGGGACCACAGGACTCAGGTCTGGGTCCTAGTCCGGACCACTGGACTCCGGTCTGGGTCTCGGTCTGGACCTTCAGCTCCAGTTTTAATTGTGATTGCTACTATTTCAACACCATCTGTAGAAGGGCCAAACCAACCTGTCTCACGACGGTCTAAGTTTCATCTTCAATAAATAACTTCAATAACATCAAGAAATGCTTGTGGATGGAACCAGGGAGGGAGTCTGCAGCCTGCGCTCGGAGGGCCTTAGTTTGTATGAATATTGTTGAAAGTGTGTCTCTCACCCACGAGCAGTATGAGTCTGTGAGTGTCCCGTAGGGAGCGCTGGTACAGGGTCACTTCCTCGTAGGGCGTGGCCAAAGCACCGTTATCGCAGCAACAGGAGGAACACGACTGCCTCCTGCGCCTGAGAGAGCGCGACGCACGGAAACTTCTGCGAAATCCAGCTGCAAGAAACACAACGTCAGTCAACTCTCAGTCCTGGATCTACAGCCTCAGTCCTGAATTTACAGCCTCAGTCCTGGATCTACAGCCTCAGTCCTGGATCTACAGTCTCAGTCCTGGATCTACAGCCTCAGTTTCAGATCTACAGCCTCAGTCCTGGATTTACAGCCTCAGTCCTGGATTTACAGCCTCAGTCCTGGATCTACAGCCTCAGTCCTGGATCTACAGCCTCAGTCCTGGGTCTACAGCCTCAGTCCTGGATCTACAGCCTCAGTTTCAGATCTACAGCCTCAGTCCTGGATTTACAGCCTCAGTCCTGGATTTACAGCCTCAGTCCTGGATCTACAGCCTCAGTCCTGCCTCTACAGCCTCAGTCCTGGGTCTACAGCCTCAGTCCTGGGTCTACAGCCTCAGTCCTGGGTCTACAGCCTCAGTCCTGGGTCTACAGCCTCAGTCCTGGATCTACAGCCTCAGTCCTGGGTTTACAGCCTCAGTCCTGGATCAACAGCCTCAGTCCTGGACCTGAAGTTGTAGGAGGGTCTAGGATTCAGGACATAAATGGACCAATGGCTTCTATGTGTTTTTTATTATTGCACTTCCTGTGTTCGAACTGTTTGATTCTCTGATATGTTGGTGGGGATTCAACAACTTTGTAAAGTCCTCCGAGACGACTGCTGTTGTGATTTAGGGCCATACACAAATACATTGGTGTTGTGGCTTGAAGGGGGAAACAAATCCCATCATCGCTAACTTTAAGTGGAGAGAGTGGAAAAGTAATGCTTCATACCGATGTGAAGTTTTCCCGTTGCGTCAAGACTCACTTCATCTGTTTGAAGGAGCAGAGAAACACATCTGTGACATCATTCATCCATTAGCATGTGCTGTCAGCTGAGGCTAAAGGCTAAAGCTATGCCCACAAAACACTAGCCTGGCCTTAGCCACACTCCGTTCAATCATCATTTCACTGCATGTAACGTCTGGGTCTGGTCTCTGGGTTAGCGAATACAATCGGTTGAATTTCGACCAACCATTCAGAGAGCGCGGAAGGCAGGTGTTGTAGTTAGTTGTGGGTGACGTCAAGAGTTTGTGTCGAACGGGAAGGCAATGGCAAAAAATGCGATAGTAAAGTAATCCAGTAAAGTTCTATCACGAAATTGAAGCCGGGGAAAGAGGAATGTTTAGCTGGAAAAATTGTGGCGCTACTTCCGACGGGCTCCGTTAGCGGCAAAGGAGATGGCTAGGCTAAATGCTAACGACAGACTCGGACGCACTACATAGGTCACGGTAAACTCACGGTGAATCGTTTCAATCCGCAAAGCGAGTTAACCCCTCATATCTGTAAACAAAGCTCAATGGAGCACCTCCAGACCTTAGTACGAAATGTAATTTGTACTATGGTGTGGTACGACCAGGCTATTAAAACACACTTACCCACCCAAAAATATATCTTGTGAATCTGTGGAAGAAATGAGAACACATTGAATCTTTTTAATTTTTGAATTTAAACAAAAGTACATTGAAATTTGACAACCACTTTTCGTTCATACCCGTGTCACTGTTTTGATGATTGATTTGTGCTTCGTCACCGTCTGAAAAAACAAAATGCCAAATAAAAAAAAAAATATATATAAAATAATTTTAAAAGGTTAAAATGATGAAATGATGTCCTGCAGTTGTATTTTTGAAGATTGTTTTATGTATGTACTTGTCTGGTGCACACTGTGGACTCTTGCACATGTATGCCAATGTGGTTTTACTGCGAATGACAAATAAACTGAACCTGAATCTTAATCAGAGGGAGCTACAGGTACAGAGTGTCCTTCTCAAAGCATTCAAAAAGGCTGTTTAAAGATCAGGAACTTCTGGCACAAACATGTAGCTCCGACCCTTCTGTCTAAAAGTTCCTGTCTAAGTCCGCTAATAGTATGATGTCAGAGTACCACTTTGACATGATGCTCAGACCAGTTTCGTAATGCCCCTGATTTAGTTTTGGTGATTTCTCAGGTGAATTGACGTTCATTATAATAACAAGTCTGGGTTTGCAGCCTATAATATTCAAGTTGGGTTAAAAAACAAACAACATTCTCCCCCTCCCTCTGGTGGCAACATAGGGAGTTACAGGCGGAAAACATTTTTTACTCTTCATACATGTTTCACCATATACAGTATTTTCTACTGGAGATATTATTTTACATTCTACAACACGAAATGAGAAAAAAACAGTCTCCGTCTTATAATGAATTTACAAAAATAAGAGAGAATATAATAGTGAGATGATTGTGTGGTTATGTTGGGGACATTGTAAAGACATTGTAATGTTAATTTATTCACAAATAATGAAGGCAACTGAACTGTTGAATGTGGAAATGATGAATAAAGTCACTCACCGTTGTCTCCCAAACTCACTGAAACGACAAAGTGTTTAAAATGTGATACAATCGCTCAAAAGGCAAATGTTCTGAAATCAGAGACTCACAAGGTTTGATGCAGGTGTGTGTTTGTAGAGGCTGACACCACCACTGCTCCCTCTGCTTACTGCAACACAATAAGGACCATTATTGAAAGTCAACTTGTACGTCCCCAAAATGTCACTCCAAGATGTCTACCCCTGGTCTCTCCAAGATATTGTCTGCCTTTGGTCTCTCCAATATGTCTCTCCATAATGTCTACCCCTGGTCTCCAAAAGATGTCTTCCCCTGGTCTCTCTAAGATGTCTGTACCTGGTCTCTCCACGATGTCTGCACCTGGTCTCTCCAAGATGTCTGCCCCTGGTCTCTCCAAGATGTCTGCCCCTGGTCTCCAAAAGATGTCTGCCCCTGGTTTCCCCAAGATGTCTGCCACCCTGGTCTCTCCAAGATGTCTGCCTCTGGTCTCTCTAAGATGTCTGCCTCTGGTCTCTCCAAGATGTCTGCCTCTGGTCTCTCCAAGATGTCTGCCCCTGGTCTCTCTAAGATGTCTGCACCTGGTCTCTCCACGAAGTCTGCCCCTGGTCTCTCCAAGATGTCTGCCCCTGGTCTCCAAAAGATGTCTGCCCCTGGTTTCCCCAAGATGTCTGCCACCCTGGTCTCTCCAAGATGTCTGCCACCCTGGTCTCTCCAAGATGTCTGCCTCTGGTCTCTCCAAGATGTCTGCCTCTGGTCTCTCCAAGATGTCTGCCTCTGGTCTCTCCAAGATGTCTGCCTCTGGTCTCTCCAAGATGTCTTCCACAGGTCTCCAAGATGTCTTCCCCTGGTCTTTCCAAGATGTCTGCCACCCTGGTCTCTCCAAGATGTCCGTGTGTTTGCCATGTCTGTGTTACGCTAATACTAGGCAGTGCGGTGGCTGAGTGGTCAGTCCTGGGTTGGAATCCCCATGGGAACAGAGCTTTTCTGAGTGGACTCCAACTCTTAGATGATAGATACATAGAAAAAGATGCTGATACCTCTTCAGGTTGCTGGCAGAGGGGATGAGTCCTGCGCAGGTCCCAGAGGAGGGTAGTCTGCGTGCCTGCCACCACTGTCCGTCCGTCTGGTCCACCACCTCCAGGACATCGGCCCGACTGAAGCCCACTCCTGCAGCCGCACACGGGATGGAGCTGTCCTGGTGCGGGCAGTAGTCCACCATGGCCCTCATGAACACCTCACAAACACAGAGGCATAAGAAAGGATCCTGAACTTTCAACACACAACAATAAAACTATCTGATAATATATGTCACTAGTCCATGGGGTTAAACCCTCCTTACCAATGCAGGAGGGTCCAAGGACAGTGATGATCCAGGACACTCCACATTCAACCACATTTATGGACATTGGTCTCTGCCTCTCATGGCTCCATATGTGTTTTTTTTTATCATTGCATTTCTTGTGTTTGAACTACTTGATTCGTTGATCTGTGTTGTTGAATTTGAGATCTCTACTATTGTGATTTTTACAAGAATACATTTATTTGAATTAAACTAGTCCTGAGCTCACTGGTTTTACTCAAGATCAGCTTTTTCAGACAGAATAGTGAAAAAGACAGGACCCCCCTCACTCAGCCAATCAGCTCTCAGCCCAAAGAGTCAAATAGTGACTCACAGGGCTCTTTCTTACAACCACACCAAAGATAAGATGTTTCATTTAAGACCAAGACAGCATGTTTTGGTCAGACTCTGTTGAAAAAAAAGTTGATCCCTTGCAACAGCACAACAGTTGTCTTAAAGGACTTTACAAAGTTGTTGATTTGCCAACAACAGATCAGAGAATCAAACAGTTCAAACACATAGAGCCTTTGGTCCTTTGGTGAGCGGGATGATTACTGTCCAGGAATGTTGATAAATGTCCCACATCATCACTGTCCTGAGGTTCCTCGCCAGGGAAATGTGTGAAAAAGTGTAACTTATGTAACCTACATATAAGTAATGTGGTTTAAGTATCCTATTTTTGGCACTATAAGGCGCATTATCAAATTCTGCCTTCATTTTTGTATATAAGGCGCATTCATTAAAGCTGGTTTAATTCAGTTTTATTGTCATTTTCTGTCATTCTTGACCTTAATTTTGAAGTGAAACAAAACAACCAGATAATCAGGCAAATCAAACATAACTCAATTTATTTACCAGTATAATCCATAGACTGTAAATATTAACGGGGCTGTTTCAAAATGGCCGCAGGGCAGATAATGTAGAAAATAACAAGCCCTGGTGATCCAAGATGGCGCCCTATTCAAATCAATGGCTTGTGTTCAGTAGTGCATGTGCCACCATCGACACCAAAAGATTAGCTCAACCCATATTTTGGTATTTTCTCTGGTTTTCCCAGTTCTGCGCAGTGGACGACATCACATGATGCTTTGTGCAAAATACAGAGAGAAACCAGAAAGAGAGGGACCAGAGAGCGACCGGAGAGAGAGACCAGAGGGAGACCCGAGAGAGAGACCAGAGAGAGAGACCAGAGAGAGAGAGACCAGAGAGAGAGACCAGAGAGAAACCAGAGAAAGACCAGAGAGAGACCAGGCAGAGAGGGACCAGAGAGCGACCGGAGAGAGAGACCAGAGGGAGACCCGAGATACCCCGGAGAGAAACCAGAGAAAGACCAGAGAGAGACCAGAGAGAGACCAGAGAGAAACCAGAGAATGACCAGAGAGAGACCAGAGATACCCCAGAGAGAAACCAGAGAAAGACCAGGGAGAGACCAGAGAGAGACCAGAGAGAGACCAGAGAGAGACCAGAGAGAGACCAGAGAGACAAGAGAGAAACCAGAGAAAGACCAGAGAGAGACCAGAGAGAGACCAGAGAGAGAGAGAGAGAGACCAGACAGAGATAGACCAGAAAGAGAGGGACCAGAGAGAAACCAGAGAGAGACCTGAGAGAGAGAGACCAGAGAGAGAGACCAGAGAGAGAGACCAGAGAGAAACCAGAGAGAGAGACCAGAGATACCCCATAGAGAGAGACCAGACAGAGAGGGACCAGAGAGAGAGACCAGAGATACCCCATAGAGAGAGACCAGAAAGAGACCAGAGAGAGACCATAGAAAGACCAGTGACGAACCACTATGCTCCACTTACTCGCTTCTGACTGCTGCAGCTTTGACTGGAGTTTGGGATGACTTTAAACAAAATGGTGCCACTGGAGTTGACCTGAAAATGATCCCAAAAGTCAATGTTTTTCATGATGTTTTAAAGAAGAATCTAAATGCAGTTGTTGTGATTGTTACCAGTATCTGAATGACTCGCTCTGGCTCTAAACCTTCCACTGCGCTTCCATTCACCTCCAGCAGGTGGTCTCCAGCGTGAAGCAGGCCTGGGGAAGGAAATGTGAGTGGTCATTGAATCACCATTCACAATCAGGCAAGGTGAGTTTATATACAAAACACAAATTATTCACACAGACAAAACAACACAATTTAATCTACAACATGAGACTTTCAGACCAAGAAAACAAGAGCTGATTATTGGACGAGAATAAACTATTGCTCTGTCAGTGTTGGTATAACGTAGTGGTGCAATATAACTTTATTGTTCGTATAATTCCAGTACTCAATACATATCGATGAATAAAACGTAGATAAAACATTGACCTGTTCTGATAACACACTAGTTACTTTCCCTGCTGCTATTATTACTATTGTCAGGGTTAGGGTTAGAGTACACTGATCCTTGAACCAAGTGACATTACAGCTCCAGAGTTTTATTATCTATTATCTTCAATAAAAGATTCTGTTTGATGTTTCCTGAATCTCCTAGTTGTACTTTTATTTTGCTGTAATGTGCAACGATGACATTGTAATTTCCCCTGATGGACGAACAAAGGTTTATTTTAATACACAAATGAAAATGGTATTATACTGAGATAACTCAAGTTCCAGGGAAATGTACTTAAACAGCACATTTGCTTGTCTGATTAAATACTATGTGATTTTGTTAGTGCTGTTGACTCACTGGGCCTGAGACTCAGGCTCAGACCAGGTCTGGTGCACTCCGGGAAAAAACGCTCCACATCTGTTTCGAAAGATGTAAACAGACTACTACAGCCTCCTGGACCTACAGCCTCAGTCCTGGGTCTACAGCCTCAGTCCTGGATCTACAGCCTCAGTCCTGGGTCTACAGCCTCAGTCCTGCCACTACAGCCTCAGTCCTGGATCTACAGCCTCAGTCCTGGATCTACAGCCTCAGTCTTGGATCTACAGCCTCAGTCAGGCCCGGACTGGCCATCGGGAGCATCGGGAGATCTCCCGGTGGCCTGCGTGTCAAAGTGGCCTGGGCCTGCCCTATCATCACGGTCTTTTTTTCTTTTTTTTTTTTTTCTTCTTTCTTTTAATTTAATTTCATCCTCACGGTCTTTGCAAACTCCTACCCTGCCTGGTGGCCTGGTCCAATGAGCAAGGCCCAGGCCAAAGCCAGTGTTGTGCTTGAACGAGTTCAAAAGAACGCGTTCATTGAACACGCTCATTTTTTCGTGAAACGTTGAACACATTTTTTAATAAATAACGTGAACGTGAATTAGTTCATATTATGTGTCATGAACGGCAGACAATTTGTTTTCCATTTAAAACTGAGTGAAATCTGTTTTCTCTTTTGAAACGCAACGAGAGAAAGTTCCTCCCTCCTGTATTCTCCGCAGTGTTTCCGCCGAAAACTAAAAATTCCTACGGTTTCCACCGTCTGTGAACGCACCCCGACTCAGTGTACTTGCGGTGCGGCGCTATATGCTAGTGCTATTCATTGGTTGTTGGACTCACATGTGCCGTGATGAAAACACAGGGTAAGTCAGTGACACAGGGCCGTTTACATTTGACATAAAGTATAGACACACGTTCTGCAGCGCATTACAGTTTGTACTTATGAGCAGAGATGGGACAACTCAGTTCCCATTGAAACCCATGTAAATCTTGTCTGCATTGGAGTCAAAACATCCTGTGCAGTGTACAGGATATAATATATATATATATATATATATATATATATATATATATATATTATACCACGTATTGTGATTTCTAGCTCGTAGTGAAAAAAAATATTTATTTGAATATCTCGCAAAAAGTAAAATGAACTGAACTTTGAACTAGTTCAGAATTAAAATTGAGAACTTCGAACGTGAACTGTTCACTTTGAGCATGTATGAACTGAACTTGAACTAGTTCAGAAAAGCTGTGAACTGGCACAACACTGGCCAAAGCTTTACTGTCATTGGGCCAGAGCAAAATTAAACAAATGTGACGTCACACGTCGGCTACACAGCCAGGCCAGCCTAGCAGTGCACCCAGTGTAGCTTCCCCAGCCTAGCAGTGCACCCAGTGTAGCTTCCCCAGCCAAGCAGTGCACCCAGTGTAGCTTCCCAGCCTAGCAGTGCACCCAGTGTAGCTTCCCCAGCCTAGCAGTGCACCCAGTGTAGCTTCCCCAGCCTAGCAGTGCACCCAGTGTAGCTTCCCCGGCCTAGCAGTGCACCCAGTGTAGCTTCCCCAGCCTAGCAGTGCACCCAGTGTAGCTTCCCCGGTTGAAATGAGTGGTCTCTCCAACTGATGGTTCATACACGTTGTTATTTTTCCTTTTATATGAGCTGTAACGATGTGATTTTACCTTACTACTTTTTTAACAATAATTGATTAGCTTGTTATAGTTATACACTAATGAACACTTAGTTCATTGTGTGTGTGTGTGTGTGTTTATTCTCACTAAACTCCATAAACGTTACGTTGCTAAGCAACGTACAACAATCTTTAAACGTCCGAGATTATATAAACAGTCAATATAAAAAGAAATAAAGAAAACAAAAGTTTTGACAGTCAATCTTAAAACTATTAAAAGAACATCAAAATACAATGACAAAAACCCAAATTTAGAACCTTGTTTGGCCTGAATGGATGAAAAGCTCCCGGACTGAAATGTTGTCCCACTCCGGCCCTGGCCTCAGTCCTGGATCTACAGCCTCAGTCTTGGATCTACAGCCTCAGTCCTGGATCTACAGCCTCAGTCTTGGATCTACAGCCTCAGTCCTGGATCTACAGCCTCAGTCTTGGATCTACAGCCTCAGTCCTGGATCTACAGCCTCAGTCCTGGATCTACAGCCTCAGTCTTGGATCTACAGCCTCAGTCTTGGATCTACAGCCTCAGTCCTGGATCTACAGCCTCAGTCTTGGATCTACAGCCTCAGTCTTGGATCTACAGCCTGAGTCCTGGGTCTACAGCCTCAGTCCTGGATCTACAGCCTGAGTCCTGGATCTACAGCCTCAATCCTGGGTCTACAGCCTCAGTCCTGGGTCTACAGCCTCAGTCCTGGATCTACAGCCTCAGTCCTGAATCTACAGCCTCAGTCTTGGATCTACAGCCTCAGTCTTGGATCTACAGCCTGAGTCCTGGGTCTACAGCCTCAGTCCTGGATCTACAGCCTGAGTCCTGGATCTACAGCCTCAATCCTGCGTCTACAGCCTCAGTCCTGGGTCAACAACCCGTCAGTCGGTGAGAGCAGATCCCTCTCTCAACATGGGCCTCTCTCCCTGAGGTTTCTCACTTTCTCCCTCAGTGCTTTTAGAGTTGTTTCTCTGATGCAGGAGGCTAAGAAAGAATTTATTCATTGTTAAGAAAACATGGTTTTTATCATATTTATGAATTTAAATTACATTTGTTTAAAATCCATTACTCATGTAAACTGATTTTGATTAATCCATTTTGCCAAAAGGATTTCTGGGCCTGTTTAAGGACAGGTCCTTTGTCTCTGGCTCCTGGCCAGGTGGTCTTGGGGTCTGACGTTTTAAGAGTCATCTGCCCCTTGTGGACCAAACTGTTTCATTCTCTGATTGGTGTTGGAGAATCCACAACTTCGTCAAGTCCTTTGACATAACTCTTGTAGTGATTAAGGGCGATACACAAATACACTGAACTGAAAGTGAATCTTTTATCTCCTGGTGAGCCAGACCTGGTCCATTGAAAGTGAGCCAGACCATGCTTGAATGCTCATACGGGCACACATGGTCTGTATTTGGTCTGTAGTAATGTCCTGCTGAATGCCTCCTCACCGCTGCGGTCGGCCAGTCCTCCGTGGATCACTCTGGCGATGAAGATCTGTCCAGTTTTTTCATCTCGTTTTATTGTTGCTCCCTGTTCAAAAATCCAACACAAGATGAGAGTCCAGTCTGCCAAACGGATCCACATTATATTGACGACATCAATACTTCAGATAACAAGTTTAGACCCTAAACTTGTCTTACCTCTGTGGTCAAAGAATCCATTAGGTTGAAACCAGAACAGGGAGTGTTGTATTATGTATTATTTACCAATTCATATTCAGAAAAAAAAAAACATTTATGTGTTCATGAAGAAAATTGTGACCACCAATGATCAGTGCAGCAGGAGAAAAGGGCTCAGAACCATGTGTTCTTAAGCCGAGCGTGTGTGAAAATAAAAGTAAACCATTATTAATGTTGTGTGGTTGTCGGTCCGTGTACTTTTGCGTTCAATACATTTTCTATTTTTGAAGGGAAATCGAAAATCGAAAAAAGGCTATTTTGCATTTTCAGGCACACAGCAATATACAAAAATGACCATTTTGTTTTTTTTCATTGCTTATAAGACATATATATTTTAATAACTGGATTTGGGAACTAGAAAATGCAATAATTAACCTTTTTTCAATGTGTATTTAATATATTTCGGCGTCAATCGATTACCCGGAAGTGAAACAAGTTTGTTTACTTCAGCCCTATTATATAATATATAATATATAATGTATATATTATAACTATACACAAATGACCTCCTGTATTTGTCCAAACACAGACTGTGATAATACTAATCCCGTGAGAATCTGCATATCAGTGATTGTGATTGCTGCTTCCGCTTTACTTTCTGCGTTGTTTTTTGTCAGAGGACAGTGTAATGTGTCACTGACACTACATGATCAGACCGATGGGTTGTGTTTGTACGTTTACTTTGCACTCTGTCCTATACAGTACAGACGCGTTGATTCAGCCGTTACTATTTGTCGGCTCGCACTTATGTGGTTCACGAGTAGTCCACACAAACTATTATTAAACATTATAGACAGTATGGGCCATAGAACTGTAGAGCAGTATAATGTTTGTCCTCATGGTCTCTGTGGCTGCTGTGGTCAGACGCGACTCTCTGGACTGCGTGAAGCGGGGATATGTGAGATGTCAGTAAAAATAGTATTTTACAGATATTGCTTATCCCATGTGAATGCACTGCAAAATCTCAGACGTTCTCCGTGATTATCACAAATTATCAGGGGTCCACAGGTAATACTAATCCCGTGCGAGTAAAAAAACTTGTTTCACTTCCGGGTAATCGATTGACGCCGAAATTTTCTAGTTCCCAGATCCGTTTATTATACAGTAGGTCCCATTTCGTTTTGTCGTCTTCATTCACGCTTTTCATGAATCACGCAGCTGCGTGAAACATATTACATCCTATCGCCACTAGGTGGCAGGTTAAGTCTGCTTTAGCTCTGCCAGCGACTTAAACGCTCACGTATAAGACTGCGTGCAAACTTGCTTTGCCTAGTGATTGGCCGAATGGTTAGCGTTGCAGGTTAGGACCTGGGGATCCGGGTTCGATTCTTGTCTGAGGCAGTTTTGGTTGCACACCTTTTGGTTGCTTGTGTGCAATTACGTAACGTTATCAGCTTGTTATCTTCTTTCCTTGTCAAAAGGAAATGTCATGTTGTAAAATTGGCATTTTTATTCCTGCAGTTTGGTTGGTGCTGATTGTGGAGTTGAATTCCAATTGTATTTAAAGTTTTACATGTTTATCAAGCTCATTACAAAAGCAGTACAAGAGAAGTCCTGCTAAAGTTGGACTAAGGATGTTGCGTCGAATCCCTCTCAGTGTATGTTATGTTGTCTAATCGCCCCAAAAATGTTGTGCTTTATTTTCATAATAACATACTTAGTAATCGTTACAACACCGTTATCGTTACTGGGTAAATAAAGTGGCACGTTACAATTTGACTGAATGAGCGCCGCGGTGTCACGTGAGATGGTTTTGGGCAAAGGCAGTGACAGGTTTCACACTCAGACACTGGAGCTGTGGCTTTATTTTCACTGCTTTTGTCAGTCATTCAGATCATCAGACAGCTCAACTATATCATTAACTGTGTTCGAGATAGATAGATAGCCTCTATGTTGCAGAGACAACATATACATATTTTGTACTAATGTTAATCTTTATAATTAAATTGCATTAACGTATATATTTAAAATAATTATGTATTGTCTATATAGAATTCTATGCCAATTCGAAAATAAAGACATTCTGAAAGCGATCTGCCTCTCGTGATCTTTTAGTGAGGTCTTCTCCTTGTATTTACTGTTTGGCTGAGCAAAGTTTTAATAGTATTGGTTAAAATAAATCCCATTATCAAACACTCTGGACAGCGTGATGTAAATAAGAGAGAGAGAGAGAGAGAGAGAGAGAGAGACGCTGACGCATTTTGGCTCAGTGCGCTGGTGTGCAATCAATGGAATACATCACAATACTCATCAAACCCATTCAGTTTTATCATTGGAGGAAATGTTTATTAAATTAGCAATTGGCACCTTGACAAAACACTGGATATAGAAATCCTAACAATAGTAGGCTAATAGTAGGCTAACGTGGACATCCCTTGGCCCGTGGGGATATCAGGTGGTCTATATATCTATTGTTTATTGCTTAAACTGGATTTTCGACATTCCTGTGGACTCGAGCCCTGGTCAATCTAGTTCAATACAGTTCAGTTCCTACGCAGCTTTAACTTGTGCGCTTGCCTTACCCAAACGTCCAGTTGATCAAACCAGCCTCAATCATACGAACATTAAAAGGAACCTCATGTCCTTCGTATTATCTCCGCTTTAACAAAAGCTTAAGGCAGGTGAACAGAAAATGTTCTGTCATTTTATGTTTCCATATAAAAAGTAAGACATGTTGTTCATAAAATGGCCAAAATTGCCCATATTTTGGGCAACGGAATAAAAATAATGGATTGCGCCAGATTAAAATGTATGGTTTCATTTTATTGACATATTAGTAACTAAGATTTTAGCAGATGGGATTTTGGATATATTGTTTCGTTTTTCAATTGACTAATCATAATGAACAAATCTGTAAAAACTCCAATTCCGCCTGTTTTTTGGGTTCAAAGCTGAATAAATCAGGCTAGGCTATTAAAAAATCCCTCTGAAAAAACCTTCTAAATATTGTTACGTCCAAGACTGGAAAGTTTGGAGTCTGTATGAGCGACTACAGTATAAGGCACTGCATGAAAAGTTAGATTTACGTCACCCTAAACGGCAGGAAATCACGCTCTTTTTTGGGTATCTCAGGCAGTTTTCAAAACGCGTAGTTAGGGTGCCCTGTCCTCCAAACTGCCGCATCGTACCATGCTAATGTCCCTACTTTGCATATGAATGCAGCGAAACACTGCGGCCGGCCGAGCGCTAATGGCCCTAATTAGCATATGAATGCAGCGGCTGGCCAGGCTGCTTTAGAATACTATTCAGCATTGGCGGATACCACTACTTTCAAACTCGTGATTGGCTGAAAAATCACACGTGGGATTACTCCCCATTAGTAGCTTACTCCCCATTGGATGAAATCACTACTTTCAAATCTCTCGTGATTGGCTGGCAGATCTGTCACTATCACCCTGCCTCATAATTAATGCAATATTTATATAAATATGTATTAATTCATATTATGCTGCATATATTTTATCCTATGTAGGCTACTACACTATTATTAGGCCATCAATGACATGAATGAATTTATGGGGGAAATGAAAATTTTCCAGGAATATGTATGTAAAGAAAGCTTTATTAAAAAACACACACACACAGCTTTATGCCCACACTTAAGTAATTAAAAAATTACAACTCTGAACTGTCCAATTGCCTCCTCGGGGTTGTAATTTGGCAGCGTTCTAGAGAGACGCTTAATGTGCGTGGCTCTGTACGTACAGTTATGATTGGTATCTATACATATCCATTACCTACACAAAACATGTGTAGATAAACCAAATTCAATTTCTATGGATACATTAACAATACTTACATAACCTTTTTGAGAAAGAAAGTTTTCCCCTCCATCATAAATTTGTATTAGCAATATCGTGAGAATGTGTTTTATGTTTAAAAGTGTTGCTACTGAATGCTATTTCAAAGTAAGTGGTATAACTGGTATAACTTTCAAATTGTTAGAATACTCATTTTGAGTAATTGTATTCGGTAGAGTTACTGTAGACTTCAAAAACTCCGCCGAGATCGGGAGCGGCATGAGGCTGCGTCAGCCCTCGCTACAACAGCAGCGTCTAAGAGCGCCTTTTGAGGAGCAATTTCTATCTGTCCTAAAGACAGAAGAGCCTGTGCGCATCAGGTGACTTTGATTTTCAACAGGAGTTTTCCTCTCATTCTGATCAGAGGAGCGAGGGGAGAAGCGTCTGTGGCTGCCCCCTCCTCTGCCGCTAAACGCGTGGATGTATGTCTCACAGGGAATTTACACAGTAGGCGTAAACAGCGCGTACGCGTTTACTGCGCCCTCTCTGCGCGTACATTTTTTTTGGAGTATCTACACAGGCCGTGTGCGCAGGTCCGCGTCTTCTGATGCTCTCCCTGTGTAGTCTATGGAGCAGTGTAGAGGACAGTACAGAGCAACATAAATCACATGCATGTGTTTGTCTTCATGGTCTCTGTGCTGGTTTAGCCAGACGCCAGACTTTATGAAAGAAAAAAAACAATGTCTAGAATCACTTTAAAACCTGCTGCTCCTCCTGCTGATGTTTAGACACAAGTGCAGTGTGTGCGTAGATGCAATCTAGAGCCAAGGGCCGCTAGAAAAATCATGTTTTACATGAGATTTCAATGGGAAACGCGTTGGTGCGCGCACAAAATTAGAAATCCATCCTAAATTAGAGCGCAGCTTTGCGTCATACGTCCGTCATACGCGCGTATAACGCTAGAAGTGTAAATATCATCATAGGTTAACATGGAAAAAAGTAACGCGCGTCTGCTGCGCGTATAACGCGTACGTTCTGTAACGCCTTATGTGTAAATTAGCAGTGACAAATAAATGGACTACATTAAAAATTTAAGTGGACTTTTTATAGAATGAATAGTGGCAACCCGTGCGTTAATGCCCCCAGCCATGTGTGACACCCAGCACGTTTTACAAGTTTACTACAGTCTAGCAACTATTTTAAATGTGTTGGCCTAATTACTAAGTATGTTTTAGAAAAAATGTAAACGTCAACAAAATCAAAAGTGTCTTAGCCTATACTTGAACCTGGGTCCTCTCGCACCAGAGTCTAGCTCTTTATCATTGAGCTATAAAACCCCAAAAGTTGTCCGGTGAAGAGAGAAGAATGAGCGGTGAGAAGCCAATGTTGCTAACCCTGCTCACAAGTGCCACCTGGTGGTTGTTTGGGTCATTGCAGCATCACTGGGGGAAAAATAAATAGAAGACGCGTGTTTCACACGTGAGTCTCGTGCTATTCACGCGTGAAAGGCGACAAAACGAAATGGGACCTACTGTAATATATATGTCTTATAAGCGATGGAAAAAAACCAAAATGGTCATTTTTGTATATAGCCTTTTTTCAATTTTCCATTTCCCTTCAGAAATAGTAAATGTATTGAACGCAAAAGTACGCGGTTGTCTTTGGCGACGTGAATGACAGCTTATTACAGTTATTAGAGAAAGTTAGACAAGCTTCGAATGCATTCTGTATTCTTATTCTTTGTAAACACACTAACACTCTTGTGGTCATAGTAGTTAATGGGTCCACCTCTAAAACTGTACGCACACCACAGTTTGGGCTCTGAAACTGTAGCACATATGTAATACGTTTCTTCTGAGGGGGGGAATTAAATTTGCCGACATATTTCATTATTATGACAAACTGTGAGGTCACATGACACCCTTAGAATATTATCACAAAAACATAAAAGAGAACCCAAACTCTGGAATTCTTACCGTTATCGAGGTGGAAAATGACTATTACAGTTTTCTGTGAGATTTTGTGAAGTTTTGCAACTACTTTCACTGCACACTTGTTCACTGTGATGATGAATATCAAAAATTGCATTTTGGTTGCTCTTCCCCGCGGCTTCCTTTTCCACGTTTACAGTATGTAACAGCATAAAGGGGCAACCCACTTTTCATGTGCGGACCACTTTACGGCGATGGCGAAAAGCCGGACCACTTTACAGCGGTGAAAAACGCAAGGAAGGAATTTTCACCACGAACCCTTCTTGCGTGAAGGGGCCCAGGTTTTCTATGAAGTAAGAATAAATGTCTCCGAGTCCCAGTCCCAGCAGATCGGTGCCAAGACAGAGGCAAGTCTGACCAATGTTTTTTTCTCGTCCCAGGTCTCATATGGGCTTTGAATTTGTTCAGTTCGGTCTCATATAATTATCTTTAGCTTGTCTTTTTATCTCCTCTAATCTTCTTGTGTTAAAGTGCTTATATACAGTGCTATTTGCCCACTGAGTCTTTTAAAAGTACTCGTCGTATCCATGCTTCAGTATGTGCCGCTCTGTCTTCTTGCCACCCAGCGAGGGGCGCATTCGCACACGGATGTAAACAAAGATCTTCCTATATTAGTGTGCGCATAGGTTACGCAAAGACACACTTGCACACTTGAGTACATTATGACCATGTTAAGGCTACGCGCTCACAGCCGCTGGAGGTGGAAACCGCTGTCATAACCAAGCGGCCGCTGTTGTTCTGGGGTCAGAACGCTGCAGGACGATGTGGAATACTGTTCAAATACGCACAGCAAGTGCCCAGAAAGGCTTCGTGATAGTACGCATTTATGATTGTTGTCGTGCATTCGTGACCTCATACCAGTTATGTGCACCTCTGGCTATAACTATCTAAAATGTATTTTTTTGTGGTTCATCAGCTGATCATGCCTACTCAAGGAAGTAACATCAGCTGATGAGGGACAGGTCACCAAGGCGGGTGACAGTTCTGAAGACGCTCGCAGCTCTGCAGCCGAAACATGTTAACAAGGTCAATCAAACTTGTCTTTCAAAAGAACCACAAAAAATAGTTTTATGACTTTTAAATCTATCTTTATAACCTTTACACCTGTTTCTCAGTATTTTGAAAGTCTATGAATCAATGATGACTGCATTGTTGGTCTGGATCATTGTAGCTGGGCCAGTCCTGTTTCACTCGGGGCAAAACATGCTTTATTTGTGGATGAAACAAGTAACGTGTCCAGTTGTCATTCAAAGCACGAGTCACTTATTATGTAGTCACTGCCATATGTACAGATCTACATATTTCACTAGAATATACAGTATTTTGTTCTGAGATGTTATTTTATATTAGTATAGAGTTATTGATAATCGATCTCGTGCTGTGTGCTCCTCATTCCTACTCTTCTGTAACTGGTGATGCAACACTGACATTTCCCCAATCTTCATCTTTCATTGAAAATCGGCCAATCAGCTCTCAGTATTCAGAAGATCAAATGTTTACTAAGATGAAGGCTGCAGGTTGTGGTCTGGTTTGACTCTTTCTGTTTCTGGACAAATTACATGTATTCATATATATTTATGGTAAAGTACTCCAGCATTAACTCAGTTCATCCATTGTTAGCTTAGCAACGCTTGCTAAATCTACTTCTTTTTCTTCTTCTTTGTGGTCAAGCAGCTGGTGTTACAGTCATACTGATCACTAGAGGGCGCTCTTGACACTGAGCCATTGTTTAGCCGAACTTGTCCGTTGCCGCCTCCGAAAGTCACTGACTTCTTTGGGTCCTTTCTCGACGGTTTGTAGGCGTCCGGATAGAAGTGCAGAGAGGCTGATGACGTGGAGCAGGAGCTGGAGGACGAGGATGTGGATAGCGGTTGTGGGTGTGGCCTGGCAGCTTTACGAACCATTTTGGGCGACAGGGACGACACCCTTCTTGGCGGTAGTGGAGGAGTTGCTAGCTTTAGCTTCTGTCTGCTTTGCGGAGATGAGGTCTGGCTTTTGCTCGCCACAATCATACCTTGAAGTTTGTCCACAACTTCAACCAACAAGTTGAGAGCTTGTGCATTCTCCTCCACACTATCTGTCATTAGCTCCGTCGCGGCGGCCATTTTGTGCCCAATATGGTGGACGTCCTCGTTGCCAAAAGCGCTAGCCACATTTTGCACCATGGACCTTAGCTCGTCGATGCTGCGTTGCTTGCGTAACACAGGACGTCTTTGGTTGGTTCTCTTCGTTTGAGGTTGTGACATGTTGCAATAGACATTCTGAGAAGCTTCTACGTGTCCGGGAATGTAGCTGAGGTGAACTGGCTGCGTGCTGCCCCCTTGTGGTGGGAGGGAGCGGTGAATAGCAGGGCTGCATGGTAGAGAGGTGGTAGTGGAGCTCAGAGAAGGCTGTCTTTGATATTGAAGTCCATACGTGCTGGTTTTTTTGCATAAAGCCGGAGAGTTAGGAAGGCTCAGACTGTAGAAAGGAACCGGAGGAGGGGGGATGGAATACTCATCTGTGCTGTCGCTCCTTTTGAGGCGCTCTGATTCGAAAGCACAAGAACACAAGATTTAAAATAGAAAAATATATAGATGTCAATAATGATGACACAAGGCCTGGAGGCGTGGAGATGGAGATCGGAACATGGACATGAGTTACAGGTTGTTGTGTTTTTGAAGTATGAAGAGGATCAAATATGGGCCGCTTCAGTAGAAATTGGGAATTGGGTGGTTGCATGCATTCATAGCAGTGACATGCAGTGAGATTTGTGATTGATGAGGCACTGACTTTGAAAGTCAAACTTATAATTGTTATTCTATCAAAATAGTACTAGTTCGCCAATTCAATAACATCAAAAAATGTAATATAAGGTGAGAAGTGAGGGACGCGCAAGGAGAGATAGGCGTAAGGAGGTGGGGACCATAAACTGTAAATATTAATGGACGTAGCCACGCCTAACTATGAAAAAAATGCACATGCATGAGCCCCATTCATTTAATGTAATTTAACAAGTGCCTTCGGAAGTCCACAGTGGCTAAACTAGACTAGTCCAAATAATTAAAAAAACGAATTGACACACATCTGAAATGTAGCGTTGGGCCAAGAGTTGACTTTTGGACCATCCTGTAAATCCGTTTTTGAGAGAAAAGAAGATGCCATACAAAAGCCTTGGGTGATTCTTATTTCGGGTACAACACCACCGGCCCGGAGTGAGATCACAAGCATGTCAGCGCACATGCTCATGAACCACTGGTGGGGACGGGAGGAGGGAGTCATACTGTTACTGCTATAGTCTGTGAAGAACCTCAACGTGATGTCTCACACTAGACACTTCTTCCAAGGCCAAACAGTCTTCACTGCCTCCCAGTATTCATCACCTCAGCTGCTTCTATGTCATAATGATTGACCAATCAGATGCTTTCATTTGTGAAACTCCATCTTGCCCTAGCAACCATGTTAGCAACATCGAGTTTGTATTTACCACTGCTCTGGCGAAACAATTGCCAAAGTCTGGTTCCAAAATAATCCAATATGGCAGCTGTTCCAACTGGATTCTTCATCATGTGAGGGATGTTGTTTAAGAAGTTCATGTTCGAAATAATGAATGAATGCAACTGGGCAATCAAAACACAAACTCTCCATACACTGTGAAAGTGGACGAGGGAAAGACAGATGCAGATGTTCGGATGATTGACACATGACTCATGAAGATGGATGACACGATGGTTTTGAGATGACGTCACTTCTTCCTTCTTACCGCTGTAGGGGGCGGGGCTAAAGACGGAGGGAGCTGATTGGTTGAGGGCACATCTCTTCCACAGCGGGGGACAGGTGCAGCAGTTGCCGGTGGACTGGTATCGCGGCAGGAAAGGCTTCACGGAGTCAGCGTGTGGAAAGGGAAGTCTGCTTCGCGCCACACTCTGAGGCGCGAGCAGAGCCTCCCCTGACCACGCCCTCTGCCGCTGAGGCTCCCGATGCAAACTGCCCCACTGATGTCACACAACATGCACACACAACAATCATTCACCTTCTGTAAGCACACTATGTCCATGTTTAAAAGCTGATCATGTGGAGAGAATATGTTTTGTTGTAATCTGAGCACATTCTGACTGTGTTAAAACAAGATTCTCCAATGGGACAAAGCCATTCAGTCTTATTTCAAGAACTGTTGCTTTATTTTCTCATTCCAAGGAAGACATTTATTGTATCTATTCAAAGAAAGATAATTTTGCTAGGTCCCTTTGGCAAATCTAGTTTGGCAGTCAAAATGGGCTCAAAATAAGATACATGTTTCCAAATTTCAGCCATTATTGACTTATTTTCCATCACTTGCAGGATATACATGTCAGTGATTAGTTGTGTTATTGTTAAGGAAAATGTTATCCTTAAACATTCAGGAACAGGACCTTGTTACAGACAAGACATCATTATTTTCTGAATAAACAACTCTCACATGAACGGTGAGCTCCCAGCACATCACTTACATTATTCAAATACAACAGACTAGAGTCACAAAAATCATAGAGGAACAGAAACCTCAGATGGAAATGACCAGAGGAAACTCAGAACAGATCAAGATTATATTAAATATCACAATACTTTGTTTTACTGTGTCCATTTAATTGTGTGCAGAAAATATGGCGATACTGAACAGAATCCATTCCCCACCAGCTGCTTCACTGACCAGAGGTTGGTTGTTCTTGACGAGGCACACGATGCGCACCGCCTCCTCGTCTTCTGGGAGGTCGTCCGGCAGCGGCTCCAGCACCGGGCCAAAGTCCTGCTGAGCCACCGAGTCATGTGACCAGAGCAGGGCCTGAAGACAAGAGGCACAGACTGTACAACAAACACTGAGGACTCACCAACACCACATCCTGACCTCACATGTTGTGCATCTGTGCAAGAATGTGAGAATGTACAATATAGAACCACATGGATCACTGTCACTTTACTGAGTCACTGTGTCCCAGACCCTCGTGCTGCTAACATGTACATATGTATACATACAAATATGCCACCAATTCTCCCCTTAAAAATATGAGGGAGGCCGGTAATTGTCATAGGTATACCTCAACTATGAGAGACAGAAGGAGAAAAAAATCCACAAAATCTAATATTATTTTATTTGCAAATTATGGTAGAATATAAGTATTTGGTCACCTACAAATAAGCAGGATTTCTGGCTCTCACAGACCTGTAACTCCTTCTTTGAGACGCTCCTCTGTTTTCTCCTTGTTACCTGTGTTAATGGCACCTGTTTGAACTCGTGATCAGTCTGAAAGACACCTGTCCACAACCTCAAACAGTCACCTCCAAACTCCACTATGGCCAAGACCAAAGAGCTGTCAAGGGACACCAGAAACAAAATTGTAGACCTGCACCAGGCTGGGAAGAGTGAATCTGCAATAGGTAAGCAGCTTGGTGCGAAGCATTCAACTGAGGGGAGCAATTATTAGACAATGGAAGACATACAGGACCACTGACAATCCCTCTCGATCTGGGGCTCCACGAAAGATCTCATCCCTTGGGGTAAAAATGATCAAAAGAACTGTGAGCAAACATCCCAGAACCACACAGGGGGTACCTAGTGAATGACCCACAGAGAGCTGGGACCAAAGTAACTAGCCCTAGTCCTACTTTTACAGTGCCTTGCGAAAGTTTTCGGCCCCCTTGAACCTTTCAACATTTCACCACATTTCAGGCTTCAAACAAAGATATACATTTTTTTTTTTTTTTCAAGAATCAACAACAAGTGGGACAAAATCGTGAAGTGGAACGAAATTTATTGGATAATTTAAACTTTTTTAACAAATAAAAAACTGGATACGTCTATTTGTGAACCATTCCATTGTAGATTTGGCTTTATGTTTTGGATCATTGTCCTGTTGGAAGATAAATCTCTGTCCCAGTCTCAGGTCTTTTGCAGACTCCAACAGGTTTTCTTCCAGAATGGTCCTGTATTTGGCTCCATCCATCTTCCCATCATTTTTAGCCATCTTCCCTGTCCCTGCTGAAGAAAAGCAGGCCCAAACCATGATGCTGCCACCACCATGTTTGACAGTGGGGATGGTGTGTTCAGGGTGATGAGCTGTGTTGCTTTTACGCCAAACATATCGTTTTGCATTGTGGCCAAAAAGTTCAATTTTGGTTTCATCTGACCTGAGCACCTTCTTCCACATGTTTGGTGTGTCTCCTAGGTGGCTTGTGGCAAACTTTAAACAAGACTTTTTATGGATATCTTTGAGAAATGGCTTTCTATTTGCCACTCTTCCATAAAGGCCAGATTTGTGCAGTGCACGACTGATTGTTGTCCTATGGACAGACTCTCCCACCTCAGCTGTAGTTATCTGCAGTTCATCCAGAGTGATCATGGGCCTCTTGGCTGCATCTCTGATCCGTCTTCTCCTTGTTTGAGATGAAAGTTTGGAGGGACGGCCGGGTCTTGGTAGATTTGCAGTGGTCTGATACTCCTTCCATTTAAATATAATTGCTTGCACAGTGCTCCTTGAGATGTTTAAAGCTTGGGAAATCTTTTTGTATCCAAATCCGGTTTTAAACTTCTCCACAACAGTATCTCGGACCTGCCTGGTGTGTTCCTTTGTCTTCATGGTTCTCTCTGCGCTTTAAACAGAACCCTGAGACTATCAAAGAGCAGGTGCATTTATACAGAGACTTGATTACACACAGGGGCATTCTATTTATCATCATCAGTCATTTAGGACAACATTGGATCATTCAAAGATCCTCACTGAACTTCTGGAGTGAGTTTGCTGCACTGAAAGTAAAGGGGCCGAATAATATTGCACGTCCCACTTTTCAATTTTTTTATTTGTTAAAAAAGTTTAAATTATCCAATACATTTCGTTCCACTTCACGATTGTGTCCCACTTGTTGTTGATTCATGACAAAAAATTAAAATGTTATATATTTTTGTTTGAAGCCTGCAATGTGGCAAAATGTTGATAGGTTCAAGGGGGCTGAATACTTTCGCAAGGCACTGTACATATAGCTATTTTGTCCTCTCGCTTTGGTGTCTGGCCGCCCTCGTTGCTGGGGTCCGAGCGTGTACTCCTGAGTTCATCATGACAGGAAGATACACATCCTGAACTAAGAAAACAGAACTATACATTGTAACGTAATAACTCCAAGTAACTTAATGCCTGCCTATGCCTCTAATTTTGATTTAGAGAACCTGTGTGCCTTAGTGCGATTTTAGTTTATTTGGGCACCCTTGCCCTTGCGTTGTTGGTCTTTTTCTTTCTCTTGTTTATGTTATCTTATTTTTTGAGAGCGCAACCGCCTCGACTTGCCACATAATAAACTCAAACATGCAGCAATGGCTGTGAGTCAATGACAAGGGGAAACAACTTTAAGATAATTGTCCACTTTGAAAACAGGCTTCATATTCAGATTGAGAACAATATTAGAAATTCTGAAAAAGAGGAGGGGCTGCCAAAAGAACCACTACACCTAATGACGTGCAAACAGAAGCAAAGGAAAAAGCTTTAATCCACAACAGGTGAATCGAGAAACCACTAACACTAAAGATGGGGTCGCTAACTTGTTCAAATGGAAGGGTGTAGAATAATCCATTTTATTTATCTCTCGCTCTCACAACAGTTCAGTGATGTCTGATGAAGGGCCTCAGCTCGAAACGTTCTACGTGGCCTGTTAATAAAAGACACTGATTGGGAGCATTAGGATGACCATACGTCCCGATTTACCCGGGACAGCCCCGCTCAGCTCTTCGTCCCGTGTCCCGGCGGATTTCACCAGCCCCATAGTTTTGTCCCACTTTTACTGACGCTCTGTCCCGGGCGTCCCGATTTATTTTCTTTTTCCAATGTCAAAAAGCTATTACAGCACACAGTGGCTGAATCTGGCTGTCTTTGGGCAATGCGTATGCCAATCACACAGTTGCCATAGCAATTTATATTATGAACCAATCATAAAAGCTCAACAGTCCTCCAAGTGTCTGTAGCTTGATTCTCATTGGTTCATGGCATTGACATTACGGTCACAACGAAACGCTATGGAACAACTTTCCTCTGCTCAACATGCTTAAAAGAGAAAGTTGAGGCTAACCCAAGAACTCCTGGAATAGTTTTCTCAGGAAAGTACCGGGTAAGGAAAATGCTGCCTTTTGTACACTTTGTAAGTGCGAGTTTACCGTCGCTCATGGCGGAAAAGCGGACGTGCAGAGTAAAACTAGAAAAACACTTTCAAAGCACTGCTCATTACTCGGGTAAATTTTAAGTATAGTTGCTCTGAGTTCTATGAGAGGATCAGTGAAAACCATTGCCTCTTGAAATATTAGTGTAAGGGGTTTATATTGATGTTTTGTTTTGGTTATGCCCTGTTGTTATTACCTGGTTAGGACATATTTTGAGTGCGTATTGATATGACGGGGATGAAGTCATGTGCGCTATTCAAAAGGTAACTTCGGGTTTGAAAGAAACAGCTCCTCAGGATGGTACTTTTATTCAGTGTACAGCTGCCCATCCGAACACTCCCCACAAACCCAAAGTTGCCTTTTGTATAGCGCACGTGACCTCATCACCGTCATGTCAATACGCACTAAAAATAGGTCCTAACCAGGTGATATGTATCTTTGTAATTTTCTGTTTCCAGTGTTTGCGGAGTTCTGACCTTGACGTGAGGAGAGGAGAGGAGGTGGAAGAGCTCTCTGGCTTCAGCTGATGGACGCTGCAGCTTGGAATTCTTTGCCATCAAACACCGTATCTGCAAGAAAAACATTCAATGATTTCCTTCATATTTAGAAGCACAACTTTCAGTATGAACAGACACAGGTCTGTACCTCATGTGAGAGAGCAGAGGAGTGAGGCAGCCATGGAGCAGGCCTCAACCGCTGGAACTGAAGAAGATTCTTGTACGCCTGTCAGAAACAAGAGAAGAAGAGAAGACTGAAGCAGATCAATGGATCTATAATAATATCTGCATGGGGTATTACTAGCTTATAGTTGTCCCACCAACGGGCTCAGGAGGCGCCCGCGGTACTGCAGACTAAATTCACGTGGGCCACTCAAAAAAATATGTTCCCATAGAACTCAATAAAAACTTTTTTATTGTTACATCCTTTGGTTTTCTATAAATTGTCACGGCCCTCCCCTGCCTGTTGTGGGAGGCTCCTCATGGCAGGCAGGGGTGGGGCCGTCTGATGGGAGGCACCTGAGTAGATGTTAAATGCTCTGCTCACACTAATGTCTCTCTCTGCTCTCCTCCCCAGGTAATCCCTTTGGTTTTGTTCCCGTTTGGTTCTGAGTTCATTTGTTTTGTACACACCGCACTTTCGCACTCATACAGTCACTTGCATTCATACACTGCACACACCACTGACTCTCACACTGATGCACACCTTTTGGTATGTTGCACATTTGTTTATTATTATTGTTTGTTAAAATAAAACCTCTTAAATGGCCCACCCTGTTTGTGTTATGTTCCCCACACAGTAGTTTGGTGTTGTAGCAGGCCCTTGAGCCAGGTTTGTTACACGTGGGGGCTCGTCTAATTCAGAGTTAGCTGTACTTAAGTAGTTGAGTTACATTGGCACTTAAGTTGTTTGTTTAATTTCTGTATTAACCCTCTGGGGTCTAGAGCATCGGATCTGATGCCTGCACACATGTTTTATAAATGTTCAATTTTCTCATGAACGGCAAAACGTAGCGACTTACGTGTACTTCACGTCGTTTTTTTCTCCGTGAAGTACACATTTCAGGCATTACAGCGCTAGTTTTGTTTTGTCTGTGTGACTTTTGGGGGATTTTCTACGTGTGTTTGAAAGTCGGTGTCCAATCGGATCTTCGAGCGGTCTCCCGTGAGGTAAAACAGCCAAAACAGTAAAGTTATTTTGCTTACACGCTGACACAGGGACTGCCAAAGATTGTCAGAGAGTAGGATGATTCACTCTCCTGTGTGTATTTATTGTCCCATAGTTGAAATTACAGCTGCGATTGCAATTACTGATGCGTAAAAGACGCATTATTTTAGCGGAATGTTACGAAAATGCGTCCCCGACACAGCTAATGTAGCTTTCGATCACTGATCTACGTGATCTACGAGTGATGTGTGTGTTCAGAGTCTGGGCTTGAAAGTGCATTACACAAAGATAGGAGGAGACGCAGATGCAGCGCTCACAAGAGCCAGCACCTGGCTGAAGAGTGCGCATTATTGATGTAATTATATTATATATTTATTATTGACATCGATAAATACATTATGATGATATGATGTATATGAATATAAGATGTTGTTTTTCTTTCTTTGTTTTTTTAGTTTTTTTGTTTTACATATCTTACAGCTGTGATACTGAAGCAATATATAGACATAGAAAAGCTGCTTCAGGAAGGGCATCAGGAGTACAGCGTTTTTTTCACTTGTAGTGGAATTTTGTAAAAATTATAATAGTCACAGGTTCAATTTTTTTCCCCATCAACCCCAAGACCCTAAATAACATTTCTATACAGTGTAAAAAGTTAGCAATAGCATTTCATTGTGTTTTTCAAAACATTTTGGTGAAATTGAATTTCCGTTTCATTTTTTTCTTTGTCTTCATGATTCCATATTTTTTATATAATTCATATGACAGCTGTACACTATGAATATTATAAATCCACAGGTTGTACTGAAAAAAAAAAAAAAGTTTACTGCTTGACTCTGCATCACAAGATTACTGTTTTATGAGCAATTATACACAAAGAAAACCAGGCGAGGAAAGTTCCCCAAAATGAGCTTAGACCTTGAAGGGTTAAAGTTTGTTGATTTGTTGACTATTTTTGCATTTGCAGTTTGACAAATTGGTTTGTCCTAACTTGTACTTTGGTTAAAGTAAGTAGGTTACTTTGTTTTGTTAGACTGTTGTGTGGGGAAAGTTTGGGTCAATTAGTGGGGTTGAGTAGTTTTATTTTGTGCTACTTTGGTTTGCAGCTCACATTTGGGCCTATGCTGGGTTCTGTCTGGTGAGAGTCCTCCCCTGATAGGTTTATCAGCGAGTTACAATAGGTGGCTCGTGGTGTTTGTGTAGGCGGCAGCGAGGTGGGTAGAGCTTCCCAATCCCCTCTCCCTTTTCGTCGGCTCGGGTTCACATCCGTGGGATCCTGTGGGTGGCTGCGTATGCAGGAAGCCTACAGCCCCATTGGTACAGTGGCTTTTAGAGTCACTGGTGATTAAAAGCCTCCCGCCGGACTGCACGAAGACTAGGGGCCAGTTAGATAGCTTTACTGAGTTTAGTGGGGTGGATCTCTCTACCATTAACCCAGTTGGGGCAGCAGGTGTGTTTGCAATTTGTCTAGTTAATATGGTTGGTCTTTGTCAGGATGTCCTCCATTTTAGCTAGTTTTGTTCAGTCACCTTCGGAGTTGGCTTTGGAATTGTGCACAAAAGAACAGTTATTGGAGATTGCAGAGCATTACAAAATTTGTATTATTGATAGAAAGTTAAAGGAAACTGTTAGGGATTCATTAAAACAAGGTCTTTTGGAAGCTGGTGTTTTTTTTCAGTCTGTTGCCAGTCCGGGAGCAGCTTTACAGCCTAGTCAAGTTATGTTAACTTTTGAGCAGCAGAGGGAGCTGTTACAAATGCAGCTAGAGCTTGAAAGGAGGAGAAGTGGCAATAGACCGGTGGTTGAAAGGGAACCTCAGTTTGATGTTTCACGAAATCTTCGGTTACTACCTAAATTTAATGAGTCGGATCCAGATACATACTTTATTTTATTTGAGCGCATTGCGGATGCTAGGGCCTGGTCAAATGTGGACAGGACTACCTTGTTACAGTGTGTACTTACAGGGAAAGCGTTGGACGTTTTTTCAGCACTGAGTGTAGCAGATAGCAAAGTTTATGCTACTGTTAAAGCAGCCGTTCTCAAAGCCTATGAGCTTGTTCCGGAAGCTTATCGTCAACGTTTTCGTTACAGAAAGAAACAGGATTCACAGACTTATTCAGAGTTTGTAAGAGATTTGTCAAATGCCTTTAATCGATGGTCTACAGCTTCTGAGGTGGTTACTTTACAGGATTTGTCTCATTTAATTGTGTTGGAGCAGTTCAAAAATTCTGTACCGAATTATGTTGCTACATACATTAATGAACGTAAGGTAAAGTCTCCCAGTGAAGCAGCGATCCTGGCGGATGAATGTGTTGACCCATAAACGTAATTTTGAATGGCACAGAGACAGGTATAATGAAAGTGAGTCTAGTCTAAAGCTCAAGTCACCAGTTCCGGGGGTTTCCTCCCAAAAACCTCAGCAAAAGGTTGGTTATGTTGGAGCTCAAGGACCAGTTAACGCTAATACCTGTAGATACTGTCTAGGCGAGGGTCATTGGAAAAAAGATTGTCCTGTGCTTAAGTCCAAAAGGTCTGGACAAGTCAAGCCGGCTGTGATGGCAGCTTCAGTTTCACCTCCTGCTGTGGTGACATCTGTCCACCAGGGTGAGCTCTACAAACAGGTCAAAGCTGGTTCTGAATCTACCCTGGGTGAGTTTTCAGCATTCATTTCGGATGGGATGGTCTCTCTTTTAGATGGGAAGCAGCAAATTCCAATAAAAATTTTGAGGGACACGGGAGCTTCAGATTCTTTTATTTTAGAATCTGTGTTGCCATTTTCTAGACTCTCAGATACAGGAAGTTGTGTTCTAATCCGTGGAATGGGGTTGGTTCCTTTCTCATCCCCTTTACATAAAGTGACGTTGACATGTGGTTTGGTAGAGGGCGATGTGGAAGTTGGTGTTAGACCCCAGTTGCCAGTGGATGGTGTCCACATGATTCTTGGGAACGGTTTGGCTGGTAGGAAAGTGTGGGCAGATGGAAAGCCTAACATTTTCAGAGAGTCGACAGCGGCCTTTCCTGGTGTGGTCCAAGAAGACAGTTCAGATGTTTTCCCAAGTTGTGTCATTACTCGTGCCATTTCTCGGCTCAAGGAGGCGGAGGGCCAACCCAGTAATCTTGAGTTACCAACTGATTTGCAAATTGGAAGTTTGACAGATTCTAGAGATGAACTAATAGCAGAGCAAAAGAATGACAAGTCTTTGGTTGATTATTTTGAGAAAGTTGTTCCTGAAGCAGCAGTTAGGGATTGTGCTCAATGTTATTTCCTTCTTGATGGACTGTTGGTTAGAAAATATGTTCCACGCAAGGATATAGGGCTAGGAGAAGCAGTTTTTCAAGTAGTTGTACCAGCCTCTTTGCGCAGTACAGTCCTTCAAACCGCACATGGTGATGTGGCAGGTCATCTTGGTGTGCGTAAAACGTATGATCGGATTTTGCATCATTTTTTCTGGCCACACTTAAAGAAGGATGTATCGAAGTGTATTAAAACGTACCATACCTGTCAACTTACCAGCAAGCCTTATCAAGTTGTTAAACCAGCACCCTTATATCCGATACCGGCAGTGGGTGAACCATTTGAGCATCTTATCATTGATTGTGTTGGGCCTTTGCCACGTTCAAAGTCTGGTCATAGTTTTTTGTTGACAGTAATGTGTCAAGCAACTAGATACCCTGCAGCTTTTCCTTTGCGTACCATTACCACAAAGTCCGTTGTTAAAGCTTTAACTCAGTTTGTTTCTACGTTTGGAATTCCAAAGATCATCCAGTCAGACCAAGGTTCAAATTTTACTTCCAAAATGTTTGCTCAGATTCTTAAACAGTTGAAAGTCAAGCATAACAAGTCAACGGCGTATTATGCTCAAAGTCAAGGCGCGCTAGAACGGTTTCACCAAACTTTGAAATCCTTACTCCGTGCATATTGTACTGAACTGTCCGCAGATTGGGAAGAGGGTTTGCCATGGCTTTTACTTGCAGCTCGGGAGGTAGTGCAAGAGAGTACAGGGTTTAGTCCTAATGAGTTAGTGTTTGGGCATAAAGTCAGGGGTCCTCTAGCTATTTTGCAGGAGGGATGTTTACCTGAGGAGCCACCGCAGAACCTTATTGATTTTGTAAATGGATTTAGATTTAAGTTGTATCGTGCGGGTGAGCTTGCTAAACGGAACTTGGAGTGTTCTCAAAAGAAAATGAAGCGGACGTATGATAGGAGATGTGAAGTGCGAGAGTTTTCTCCTGGGGACAGGGTACTGGCTCTTTTACCTTTAGTTACTTCTCCTTTTCAGGCCAAGTATTCTGGTCCTTACACAGTCCTGCAGAAAGTGTCTGATCTGAACTATCTAATTGAAACTCCTGGACGTAGGAAAGCTTCAAAATTGTATCATGTCAATCTCTTGAAAGCTTATCATTCTCGAGATTCTGATCCTAGGGACACTAGTCAAGTGGAGAGGTCGGCATTGGCTGCTGTGCCTGTTGCTACTCCAGGTAGTCTTGCTTTTGAAGGGGGGGGTGAAGAGGTAGTTTTAGCTTCAGATGAGGTTTTGAGGGGAAGATTAAAGAATTCTCAGACTTTGCAAAATCTTGATACTTTAGTCGATCACTTGGACGTTGAAAAGCGAACACAGTTGGTTGGGTTGAATAAAAAGTATCCAGTTTTATTTTCTGACACTCCGACTCAGACTCATTTAATTGAACATGACATAGACATCGGAGAGGCTAAGCCTATAAAGCAAAGATTTTATAGGGTTTCTATGGAGAAGCAACAGTTGGACACTGAAATTGAGTATATGTTAAGTAATGGTATTGCAGAACCATCCAATTCAAATTGGGCTTCACCTTGTTTGTTGGTTAAAAAACCAGACTCTACTTTTCGACCATGTACAGATTACAGAAAAGTGAATGGAGTCACCAAAGCAGATCTCTATCCTCTGCCTAGGATGGAGGACTGTATTGACCAGGTTGGGTCTGCAAAATTCGTGAGTAAATTTGATCTGTTAAAAGGATATTGGCAAGTTCCACTTTCTCAAAGGGCACGTGAAATCGCTGCTTTTATAACGCCATCTGGTTTGTTCTCATACACAGTGATGCCATTCGGACTACGGAATGCTCCAGCCACCTTCCAGAGGCTGATGAATCGTGTAGTCTCTGGGTTGGAAGGGTGTGCCGTGTATCTAGACGACGTTGTGGTCTACTCGGATTCGTGGGAGGAGCATGTCCGGAGAGTGCAGGCATTGTTCAATCGGCTGGTGTGGGCCAGGTTGACAGTGAACTTGGCTAAGTGTGAGTTTGCTAAAGCCACAGTCACCTACCTTGGTAAAGTGGTGGGTCAAGATTTTGTCCGTCCCGTGGAGGCAAAAATACAAGCAGTGAAGCAGTTTCCTCCACCTACTTCTAAAAAGGAACTCATGCGTTTCCTTGGGATGGCCGGGTACTACCGATCATTCTGTAAGAACTTTTCCATGGTAGTTGCCCCATTGACCCACCTATTGAAAGCCAAGGTAGACTTTTTGTGGTCCACCCAGTGCCAGGAGGCCTTTGACTCAGCCAAGGCATTACTGTGTTCTGCTCCAGTGTTGGCAGCTCCAAATTTTAGAAAACCCTTTTTATTGCACGTGGATGCCAGTCAAATTGGCGCAGGTGCTGTACTCCTACAAGAAAATGAGGATGGTTTTGAATGCCCAGTAAGTTTCTTCTCACGGAAATTTCGTAAATATCAGTTTAATTATTTTGTAATTGAGAATGAGGCTTTGGGTCTCATCTGGGCTTTACAGCACTTCGAAGTCTAGGTTCAAGTTCGATTCCCTTGACTGTATATACCGACCATAATCCTTTGACATTTCTAAAGTCTTTGCAAAACCCTAACCAGCGCCTGATGCGTTGGGCTTTGTTTTTGCAACCTTACCATCTGGACATTAGGCACATCAGAGGCAAAGATAATGTTATTGCTGATGCCCTTTCCCGTGCACCGCTAAACTAATGCATCCCTAATCTTTTTGCTTTGCTGCGGTCTTCCTGCTCTTAAACTGCTCCCAAGGTACCAGGGCTGCTGGGTGGAGGCAGACGGCAGGCAGAAGGATGCGGGAGCTACCCTTTGCACGGGTTTGGGTTGGTTGTCGCCCTAATGTAAGTGGCCGTAATTTTTAAATGAGAGTGGGACCCTCATTTTAAGGAGGGGGGTGTCACGGCCCTCCCCTGCCTGTTGTGGGAGGCTCCTCATGGCAGGCAGGGGTGGGGCCGTCTGATGGGAGGCACCTGAGTAGATGTTAAATGCTCTGCTCACACTAATGTCTCTCTCTGCTCTCCTCCCCAGGTAATCCCTTTGGTTTTGTTCCCGTTTGGTTCTGAGTTCATTTGTTTTGTACACACCACACTTTCCCACTCATACAGTCACTCGCATTCATACACTGCACACACCACTGACTCTCACACTGATGCACACCTTTTGGTATGTTGCACATTTGTTTATTATTGTTTGTTAAAATAAAACCTCTTAAATGGCCCACCCTGTTTGTGTTATGTTCCCCACACAGTAGTTTGGTGTTGTAGCAGGCCCTTGAGCCAGGTTTGTTACTTTAATGCAACAAACTCTGCCCGTTTGGCTCTCATTGGTCCAAACGCAGCCGAGCCCCCCGCACAGCATCATGGGAGCTCATCCACTGCGCAGAACCGGTGCCTAAATATGGGCGAGTTCTGCTAATCTTTCGGCCCCCATGCCTGTCCCATGCACTGCAGAGCACAAGCCATTGATTGGAATAGGGCGCCATATTGGATCGCCAGAGCTCGAGCAGACCCTCGTACGTCGTGAGGAGTGTGATGTGAGATCAACCAGTGAGGCTTTCATTGTCTTGTTAAAGACTGAATAAAAAAACAGATCACAGAGTTCTGAGATCCTTCCAAGGATCTTTCTAGAACCTGGTTTCAAAATGTGTATTCCCAGAGCCCAAAATGCTGGCTTCGTTTGGGTCTATAAAGTATTTTAGCGTTTAGGTCTGAATGTGACTTTGTGTGGACCAGACCTTATAGGAGAGAGTGCCATCTACTGGTCTGGACAGAAATGTTGCATCTTTGTGTCTTTGAACAAAGACCAGCAGTGGTTCATGACTGGACGTGCCCTCTCCCCCGTGCCCTGTGCCTTCTGCCTTGTGCCTGAGACAGACTGGGGAATAAGTTACTATGAAGCCCGGACTTTACCTTGAGCAGAGCGCTGAGCCATGGAGCGCTGAGTAACTCCTGCAGAATTTGAGCTCCACTGCCACTGCTGATGGCCAGTCCCATGTCCTGGACCATACTGGACAGCACCCCACTCACTCCTGAAAACATACAGAGAATGACAATGAGAGAAGGGAAAAACCACAGCCACAGCCCTGGATCTACAGCCTCAGGCCTGGATCTACAGCCTCAGGCCTGGATCTACAGCCTCAGGCCTGGATCTACAGCCTCAGGCCTGGATCTACAGCCTCAGTCCTGGATCTACAGCCTCAGTCCTGGATCTACAGCCTCAGTCCTGGATCTACAGCCTCAGTCCTGGATCTACAGCCTCAGGCCTGGATCTACAGCCTCAGGCCTGGATCTACAGCCTCAGGCCTGGATCTACAGCCCGTCTATTCGAGGGAGTAGCTCCCTCCCTCAATGTGAGCCACCCTGAGGTTTAACTTTTATCCCACTCTGTTTTTAGAGTGGTTCCTCTGATGCAGGAGGGTCTAAGGACAGTGGTAATCCAGGACACTCAACATTCAACAACATTTATGCCCATTTATTCCTCTGACACCGAACTGTAAGACATATGGTTTTCCTTACGTATTTTGATACGTTTGTTCTCTTGTCGTAAGTTTTACTTCCTGTCTGTCTCGTTGATTGTCTGGCCCGCCCTGATGTTTCACCTGTGTCTCTGTGTCTATACTGTATGTATCTGTGCTTCTCTCCCCTTGTTGCTGGTCCATTGTATTGTCTTGTCAAGTTCTGTCCTGTTCCTGTTCTCCTTGGATTTTTGAGTTTTGTGATCATCACCTTGGACTTTATTTTTATTAAATAATTATTTTTGCATTCCTGCGTTTGAGTCCTTCCTGCTTTTCCACCTTGTGACAGACAGAGGTTTTTGGTTTGAACCAGTGGTCCCAGCTCAAAAGTGGCCGAAATGACGTGCGCTGACATGCTTGCAATACCACCCCGGGCCGATGGGGGTGGACCCAGAAGAAGAATTAACCTCTCAGAAACGTCTTTACAGGATGGACCAAAAGTTGGCTCTTGGCCCAAAGCTCCGTTCCACATGTGTGTCAATGCTGAGCGGGGTGAATTTTTTTGGTCCACTCTAGTTTACTTGCAATGAATTTTTGAAGTCTCTCGTTCAAATGAATGGAGCTGCGCCGGCCGACGCATGCACTCGCGGCCATTTTGGATAGCTCCAGTAGAGCACATTTTTTGGCCCATTAGTTAGAACAGCGGAGATAGGCGTGACTCTGTCCGTTAATATATACAGTCTATGGTTTGAACATAAAGTGCATTTAACTGTTATGTTCCACATCTTATCCAACAAAATCTAAAATAATGTCTGTCCATCTGTAAAATGTACTACGTGTCTGTAGTGTCTGCTTCAGCTTCAGCCATCTTCTACCAGAAAGGACACCTCTAGGAACATAATAATAATGCATTGGTTTTATATAGCGCTTTTTTGGACACTCAAAGACGCTTCACATTTCATTATTCTTTCACTCCATACACGGTGATGATAAACTACTACTGTAGCCACAGATGCCCTGGGGCACACTGACAGAAGCAAGGCAACCAGTACGTGCCATCCGCCCTTCCGACCACCACCAACCATTCACACACACACACCATACTCATTCTAGGCAATGGGGGTAAAGTGTCTTGCCTAAGGACACAACAGCAGTTTGGCACTTTACAGCCGCCCCACTGTGGCTGGTGTTCCCAGAAGTTAAGTGTCTTGCCAAGGGCACAACGACAGCAGACAGTGGGAGTCGATGGTGAAAGTCTTGCCAAAAATAAGGGGCTAGACTTCTTTAAATATATTTCTTTAAGTTAGAGTTGATCCAAACTAAACGTACTCCTCCACTGCTTCAGCAGAATACGTCTGAGGATGTAGTGTCTGAGGGTGTTGTGTTGAGGTTGTAGTGTGTCTGAGGGTGTTGTGTTGCAGTGTGTAGTGTTGGAGCCAGTAAGCAGTACTGATACTTCCAAAAATAGCTCTTGAGCGTACTGCCACCTCTTCATCCGCCAAGAATGTGTTTGTTGCATTCTGGTACAGTACTTAATTTGTTTTGCAAATGAAACAACAGAGACAGTATCCTTAGAAACAGACACATTATCCTTAGTAACAGAGACAGTATCCTTAGAAACAGACACATTATCCTTAGTAACAGAGACAGTATCCTTAGTAACAGAGTCAGTATCCTTAGTAACAAAGACAGTATCCTTAGTAACAGAGACAGTGTCCTTAGTAACAGAGACAGTATCTTTAGTATTAAAGACAGTATCCTTAGTAACAGAGACAGTATCCTTAGCAACAGAGACAGTATCCTTCGTAACAGAGACAGTATCCTTAGTAACAGAGACAGCATCCTTAGTAACAAAGACAGTATCCTTAGTAACAGAGACAGTGTCCTTAGTAACAGAGACAGTATCCTTAATAACAGAGACAGTATCCTTAGTAACAGAGACAGTATCCTTAGTAACAAAGACAGTATCCTTAGCAACAGAGACAGTATCCTTAGTAACAGAGACAGTATGCTTAGTAACAGAGACAGTATCCTTAGTAACAAAGACAGTATCCTTAGTAACAGAGACAGTGTCCTTAGTAACAAAGAAACAGTATCCTTAGTAACAGAGAGACAGTATCCTTAGCAAAGTAGAAACAGTATCCTTAGTAACAGAGACAGTATCCTTAGTAACAAAGACAGTATCCTTAGTAACAAAGACAGTATCCTTAGCAACAGAGACATTATCCTTAGTAACAGAGACAGTATCCTTAGTAACAGAGACAGTATCCTTAGCAACAGAGACAGTATCCTTAGTAAAAAAGTCAGTATCCTTAGTAACAGAGACAGTGTCCTTAGTAACAAAGAAACAGTATCCTTAGTAACAGAGAGACAGTATCCTTAGTAACAGAGACAGTATCCTTAGTAACAGAGAGACAGTATCCTTAGTAACAGAGACAGTATCCTTAGTAACAGAGACAGTATCCTTAGCAATGTAGAGACAGTATCCTTTGTAACAGAGACAGTATCCTTAGTAACAGAGACAGTATCCTTAGCAACAGAGACAGTATCCTTAGTAATGTAGAGACATTATCCTTAGCAATGTAGAGACAGTATCCTTAGTAACAGAGTCAGTATCCTTAGTAACAGAGAGACAGTATCCTTAGTAACAGAGAGACAGTATCCTTAATAACAGAGACAGTATCCTTAGTAACAGAGACAGTATCCTTAGTAACAGAGAAACAGTATCCTTAGTAACAGAGACGGTATCCTTAGTAACAGAGACAGTATCCTTAGTAACAGAAAAACAGTATCCTTAGTAACAGAGACAATATCCTTGGCAACAGAGACAGTATCCTTAGTAACAGACAGTATCCCAGTAACAGAGAGATAGTTTCCTTAGTAACGTAGAGACAGTATCCTTAGTAACAAAGAACCTGTATCCTTAGTAACAGAGAGACAGTATCCTTAGTAACAGAGACAGTATCCTTAGTAACAGAGACAGTATCCTTAGCAACAGAGACAGTATCCTTAGTAATGTAGAGACATTATCCTTAGTAATGTAGAGACAGTATCCTTAGTAACAGAGTCAGTATCCTTAGTAACAGAGAGACAGTATCCTTAGTGACAGAGAGACAGTATCCTTAGTAACAGAGACAGTATCCTTAGTAACAGAGACAGTATCCTTAGTAACAGAGAAACAGTATCCTTAGTAACAGAGACGGTATCCTTAGTAACAGAGACAGTATCCTTAGTAACAGAAAAACAGTATCCTTAGTAACAGAGACAATATCCTTGGCAACAGAGACAGTATCCTTAGTAACAGACAGTATCCCAGTAACAGAGAGATAGTTTCCTTAGTAACGTAGAGACAGTATCCTTAGTAACAAAGAACCTGTATCCTTAGTAACAGAGAGACAGTATCCTTAGTAACAGAGACAGTATCCTTAGTAACAGAGACAGTATCCTTAGTAACAGAGAAACAGTATCCATAGAAATTTCCCCACTGTGGAACGAATAAAGGAATTCTTATCTTATCCTTAGTAACAGAGACAGTATCCTTAGTAACAGAGAAAACTAGCCACAAGAGATTCCAACTTTGGTGAAGAGAAAACATATTTCACTTGCACGTGCTTCCATGTATTATTTAAAAATTCAGTTGACTGACAAGCGGCTGTCGAGTTTGCCACTGGAAACCTCTGCTGGACGTAAGCACATCCAACGTAACCCCAACTCGACAGGACACTGGCACCTTTTTGAGCCCCTTGGTGGTATTGTGTTGGAGGGTGTTGAGTCTGAGTGTGTCTGTTGTTCTGTTGTGTTGCGTAGCCATTGGAAACGCTGGTATTTGGGCCAGTGCAGGAGCGGCAGATGTGTGAGGTGGAGAGAGCGGATTAAGACGTCACCTTTGACCCCTTACTCTAATACTGATGAATTAGTCCTGACGCCAGAGTGAAGATGGAGGATATGTCTCCTCAGGGACACAGCATCTCTGATCTTAAGAACAGTCAAAGTTATCCTCAGTCCTGGATCTACAGTTTCAGTCCTGGATCTACAGCCTCAGTCCTGGATCTACAGCCTCAGTCCTGGATCTACAGCCTCAGTCCTGGATCTACAGCCTCAGTCCTAGATCTACAGCCTTAGTCCTGGATCTACAGCCTGTTGTCCTTTGTCGATGCCGGAGGGTCTAAGGATAGGGATAATTTTGTACAAATGAAAGCCTCTCATGGATGTCAACATACTCATGGTGTAACTTTCGGAGACACTGTGGTTAAATTCAACTCAATTTATTCTTGTATCAGTAGTTCAAGATAACAGTAGTTATCTCTGAGGAATTAACAAAGCTTTCAACTATGATCAGAGAGTCAAACAGTTTAAAAACAGGAAATGCAGTGATAAAAAATACATAGAGACATATTGGTCCATAAGAGGAAGATGATCAATGTCCATAAAGTCCTTAGACCCTCATGCATTGGAGAAACAACCCTATAATCCAGTGGAAACATAGTGAAAAACCTCAGACAGGCCCACACAAACGAACGGGGGTGGGAGGGTTGGATTTCTCTTACCTTCCTCCATCGTTTGCTTCATGACATCACGGCATCAGGAACTCGCTGGGAAACTGCCTGAAGTAAAACAAATATAGAAAAGTATGAGTGAAGTTTGAAAATAATGAACTCCCCAAGTCACTGCACATGTCATTATTCTTTCACTCCAAACACAGTGCTCATAATCTACTACAGTAGCCTCAGCAGCCGGTTTTCCCAGAGGTCTCCCATCACAGTACCAACCAGGCCCTGCTCTACTTAGCTTCAGAGGACTGACAGGAAAAACCAAAGTCCAAGGAAAAACCACAAAAAAAGGAACCAAACAGGTATCAAGGACCAGAACTAAAATAAGCGTGGAACGACAATGACGGAACAGGAAGTCAAGGAACACACAGGGCTTAAAACACGACTGAATCAGCCCAGGCCAACAGTAGAGGGCAGGGCTGTCAGACTATTTTTGGTTGTGGCCAAATGTCAAAGGGACAATTGGCCGTTGTTGTAATTTAGTGCTATACAGGTCCTGACTAGAACCAGGAAGTCCTCTCACATTAGTCCTGGTCTCAGGTCTCTGTCCTGAAGTCCTCTCTCCTGGTCTCAGGTGTCTGCTTGTGACAAGTCTCTCAATGGCCTCGCACCCGGTCTTCGGTGAGAGCATCGGGTCGCATAGTGAGAGAACATAAATCGTGAGCTAAGAACTTATGCACCCTGCGATTTTTTTCTGCAGTTTGAGCTGAAGCCAAGTGCAATGATTGAAAATATCACACAGTGAATGTCCAGCTATATTTTCTGAAAATCAAGGGAATACATGCTTTCTCATATTACGTCTTTAAGGTAAAAAAAACAACAAAGAAAACATCGGACGTAATGGATGCATTACGCATACAACAACAACAAGTCGAGGTGAACGGCAGCGAGCGTACTGAGGACACTGTGGTTTAAAAACATGGAAGAGTCAGACTTGGAATCAGAGATTTTTTTTTTAATTTCTCTTTCTGAGATGTTGCTGCAGTACAGTGTTCATGGTTTTACACTGGTCTAGACTGGAACAGAGAGGATTCATGGTCCGAAACAAGTGGATCAGGTGAAAATCCGCTTGAGGAATGCTAACTTTTTGAAAAATTCTAATAAAGCAATACTTTTGTTAGCTTTTTTATAATTATCTATAGGTTTTGTTTGTATGGGTGGATGTGTTTTTGCTGTTACTTTACACCTGATATTCTGCTACGGCTACGAGGGATCAATAAAGTATCTATCCATCATCAGCACACAGGACACAGAAACATTGTTCATATTGTGGAAGTTCAATAACTATTTCATTCTATTTTCTTCTTAGTGCTATTATAAAAAAATAGCCCCCCTTGCAACCACTAAGCTTGCATAAGCTAAACGTAGCTTTCTACTGAGCGTGCTGTGTGTGTGTGTGTGTGCGCGTGGTTGCATACGCACGTGTGAATGTGTGTTTGCACATCTGTGTGTGCGTGTGTGTAATTTTAAAGGTTATATTTCTATAGGGTTTATTTGTTTGTGAGGAAAGTCATAAAAGGCAATCATCCAATAAATGTAATCTAAGTATTTGGGATACAGTTACTATTTTTTCCAAAGTAACAGAATACAATACAAAATACATTTTAGGTGATGTATTCAGTATTCTGTAATGGAATAGCTTATAACACTGCTCGCACCAAAGTACATCTGTGACATGTTAGTGACATATGAAGCACAGGGACTGGCCTTCTGCTGGGACTCTGAGGAGCACAGGGACTGGCCTCCTGCTGGGACTCTGAGGAGCACAGGGACTGGCCTCCTGCTGGTGCCCACAGTCAGATTTATGCAGCTAAAATCTGGAACAGTCTTCCTGAAAATGTGAGACAGGCTTCTTCTGTGACAAAACAGTTTGAATTTGGCTTGAATTTTCACTCTTTTTATTGCACTGTGATCATTTATGTTTTCTATGCCCTGCATTGTGCACTTTAAATTGCCTCATGTATGAACTGTGCAATAAAAATAAACTGGCCTTGCCTCAAACTTCCTCACACAGGTTTATTTTCACACTCAGGTTACGTTAGCTGCTTATCTCCTGCTTCCTTTGGTGATCACTTTAATCAGCACGGTGTCATAATCTAGAATTTGCTAACAGACCGTGATCCTGTGTGTGACCTGTCCGTCACACACACTCTCTTGTATCACACTAACTCACTGCAGTAGTTTAAATGTAGTAGTAGTATAAATGTTAATTGTTTGTATGTACTGTATTATATGTATTGTGTTTGTTTGTTTTATGTTCATGGGACCCTCTCGAAAATGAGATGCTGCATCTCAAGGGGTTTTCCCTTAATAAATCTAAATCTAAGTAGTTTCTCTGAGGACTTTGCAAAGCTGTCGATTCACCAACACAGATCAGAAAATCAAACAATAAACTGATTCTATGTTCACTACAAAGAGTGAAGAAAAATAAAACATAGATCGCTCAAATTTGGCTAAATGTATCTTAATATGAGCACATTTTGCCTTAAAACAAGATCTACCAATGGGACAAAGCAAAATGAAAAAAAAAAATGGATTCAAGCGATTATTACTTAATTTCTTTGTAAACTTACTGGAAACTCGTATTGTATTGAAAAAAGCTCCCACTGACTGTTTTACACTGGTAAGTTTTGAATTGCTTTGGAATTTGGAATAAAATCTGACAAGAGCGAGACAGTGTGGAGTTTTTTTCAGTCCTGGGTCTACAGCCCGATGCAGGAGGGTCCAACCTTTTTAACCCAGATTGCTACTTTCCTGGGACGATAAAGGGAGAGAGCTACTCCTTTAAGCGGCCCAGGGAATAATGTGGTGATATTGGTGTGAACAAGCCTGATAATGGGTACAGTCATTTTTTAACATTGCACATGTGCACTATTGTCGGGCGGTGGAAGGAATACTTCGAGGTTCTCCTCAATCCCCCCGTCACGGCCTCCGTCCTAGAGGCAGAGGCTGAGGATGTTGGGGCGGATACTACTATCTCCCTGGCTGAGGTCACCAAGGTGGTTGGCAGCCTCCATGGTGGCGAGGCGCCGGGAGTGGATGAGATCCGTCCTGACTATCTAAAGTCTCTGGATGTTGTAGGACTGTCTTGGCTGACACGTCTCTGCAACATCGCGTGGCGCTCAGGAGCGGTGCCAATGGCGTGGCAGACCGGGGTGGTGGTCCCTCTTTACAAGAAGGGGGTCCGGAGGGTGTGTTCCAATTATCGTGGAATCACACTCCTCAGCCTCCCCGGTAAGGTTTACTCCAAGGTACTGGAGAGGAGGCTACGGTCGATGGTCGAATCTCGGATTCAGGAGGAGCAGTGTGGTTTTTGTCCCGGCCGCGGAACACTGGACCAGCTCTATACTCTCCATTGGATACTCGAGGGTTCATGGGAGTTCGCCAAACCTGTCCACATGTGCTTTGTGGATTTGAAGAAGGCGTTTGACCGTGTTCCCCGGGGTGTCCTTTGGGGGGTTCTCCGGGGTACAGGGTCCGGGATCCTCTGCTGAGGGCCGTCCAGTCCCTGTATGACCGGAGCCAGAGCTTTGTTCGCATCACCGGCAGTAAGTCAGACCTGTTCCCGGTGCATGTTGGCCTCCGCCAAGGCTGCCCTTTGTCACCGGTTCTGTTCACTGTTTTTTTTTGACAGAATTTCGAAGCGCAGCCAGGGGCCGTAGGGGGGTCCAGTTCGGGGACCGCAGGATTTCATCCCTGATTTTTTTTGTCCTGTTGGCTCCAACGAACCAGGACCTGCAACATGCACTGGGACGGTTTGCAGCCGAGTGTGAAGCGGCTGGGGATGAGAATCAGCACCTCCAAATCCGAGGCCATGGCGCTCGACCGGAAAAAGGTGCCTTGCCCTTTCCAGGGGGGGGGGGGGTTTCCTCAAGTGGAGGAGTTCAAGTATCTCGGGGTCTTGTTCACGAGTGAGGGAAGGATGGAGCGTGAGATCGACAGGCGGATCGGTGCAGCGTGTAATTTCTGAGGTCCTCCATCTTCTTCCTCTTCTCTTCCTCTGCTGTATCGGACCGTTGTGGTGAAGAGGGAGCTGGGCCAAAAGGCAAAGCTCCAGATTTGCTGGTCAATCTTCGTTCCCTCCCTCACCTATGGTCATGAGCTTTGGGTAATGACCGAAAGAACGAGATCGTGGATACAAGCGGTCGAAATGAGCTTCCTCCGCAGAGTGGCTGGGCGCTCCCTTAGAGATAGGGTGAGGAGCTCAGTCACACGAGAGGAGCTCGGAGTAGAGCCGCTGCTTCTCCACGTCGAGAAGAACTAGTTGAAGTGGCTCGGGCATCTGTTCCGGATGCCTCCTGGACGCCTCCCTGGGGAGGTGTTCCGGGCACGTCCCATCGGGAGGAGGCCCCGGGGAAGACCCAGGACACGCTGGAGGGACTATGTCTCTCAGCTGGCCTGGGAACACCTTGGGGTACCCCCGGACGAGCTGGAGGAAGTGTGTGTGGATAGGGAAGTCTGGGTGTCTCTGCTTAGACTACTGCCCCCGCGACCCGGCAACGGATGAAGCGGAAGAAAATGGATGGTTGGACATGTGTTACAATAGTGCACAAAGTCAGCGCATTCACAATCATAAATAATGATAATGAATAATATAATCTTAAATATTAAATACATTATTTAATTTGTTCATTTCTAAATCCTTTGGTGAGCTACTTGGAAGGTGACCACTGTCCTTAGAGCCCCCTGGTCTAAGGTCAGTGGTCATCCGGCCCCCGATGGACCGATGGCTCCTGTGTGTGTGTTTTTATTGTAGTTCCTGTGTTTGAACAGTTTGGTTCTCTGATTTGTTGTGAATGGAATCAACCAATTTGTAAAGTTCTTCGAGACGACTGCAGACATTGATTTGATATAAAAACATTTGCTCTTGAGAAGCACTTTGAATTGCCTGGTACACAAACTGTGCTACACAAATAAATGTAGAATGATTTGTGTGGAGAAGGTTGGGAAATAATGTTCAAACTGAAGTCATAGAACGATGTAAGGGAAAATTACATTCGGGCTCTT